GGGTCTTTGTGGTTGGAGCTTTTGTGTATGAAGTAGTATGCTGAATTCCTGATGAGTTTAAAAGTGATAAAACATGTTAACATTTTGAGTAGTTTATCTACTTATGCAGTCTGTCTGCCTGTGTATGCAATCAGATTTATTTAGATTAGCATCAGGAATGTGTCGGGATCTTATACATTCTCTAGCTTCGTGACAAGTAAATTCACAGAAGATTGATGCTTTATGGATGTTGAATAATGTGAACTGTTTTAATCTTTACATGTGTAAAAGAAGGATTGCTAGGTTTCTCTATTGATGAACCTGTAACCTGAAAGAGTTATGGATAGTTTCCTGAAGTATCCTTTATGGTAATGGTCACCTGAGTTGATTTAATTTAGATTTGGTTTTTTTTTTTTTTTTTTTTTTGAGACTGCTCTTTCTCTGCTCCTTTTTTTTTTTTATTACATTCTTGTTAACAGAACTTTGTAAAAAAATTTGTCTGATTTTAGGAGAAAACCTGTACTGCCTACAGTTTAGTCTAAAAAATAATTTTTAATTATAACATATAAATGAATCAAGAAGTTAAGAGAGGAGGTAGATTGTTGGTTGACTTATTGGTAATGTCACTGTTACACATACAAGGATGTCACAATGCCATCAAATTCTACTGCTATCATGAGGAGAGGTAGTGCACGAGACAAAGAGGAGGGGTGAAGACCTGTGGAAGAATGAAGCTTTATTTTATAGTTGCAAAGTCACGAGTTTGCAGCTAAAAAAGTTCATGGACTCCTCCAGAGTGCTCAGTTCAGTGCTATCATCCCTGTAGGAGAGGTGAGATAGCTCTGGCTGGTAGTTCTGCAGCACTGGGCCTCCTGCCGAAGCACACGGCACTTCTTTTGCTCCAGGCATTGGCAGCTGAAGAAATCTTCATGTAAGTTACTAAGAACTCTAAACCAAGATGGATTAGTAAATACAGAGAACACGTCATCAATGCTAGCTCCCTTGCAGGGCAGAGCAGAGAGAGGTTTTGGCTCCACAAAGGTTTCACTTCACTCTGGTAAATGGTAGGCAATTAAGTTTGGAATTAAAAAAAAAAGAAATTTAAAAAGAAATGGATATAAATAAAATACAGAACTTGGAACAGGTGCAGAATGTGAGTTTGAACGTTGCTGTGGTCTTTGTATAGTTTCAAAGATACACTTAGAACTTGAATAACAGTTGTATTGCAGTCAGCATAACATATCAAGTGTATTCAAAAGACAGATGAAACGAGTTGAAAATGAGGAACAATTCAGATCCTGGTATATACAAGTGTAAACTTAAAGTGAGTATGTTGCAACACCCACAGGTGTGTCCATAGAAGTAATTTGGGTTCAGTTGCATAAAAGCTTCAAGCAAACCCCAAATTTTAAGGCAACTGATATAAATTGAAAGCAAGCATCAAAATCTGCTGAGCTGGTAGTTTGTTGCGATTCATCTGGTTACTTCAAGCTGATTAGTGTTTATAGCCATTCATCTGGCTCAGACCTTGTACCAGCATTTGACTTAAATATGTGCAGCCTGTCATGGCAAAAAAAAATCTTGAAAAGTACTTTGGAGTTTGTGCTTCGGGGGTCATATTTTTATTAGCTAGTTACATTTTGCATTGAAGCAACCCTCAGGAGTTTCTGTTAATTGGTTTTCAAATATGGTCCTTTAATTGTTCAAACATTGAACTAAGACTTGACTACACTGGCTAATTTTTAATTAAAGTGAGTTTACTAAAATAACTTTGAAAGATTAAAATAGTTAGGCAGAATCATATATCACTTAATCCCACTCTGTAATACTCTGTTTGCAGGTAGAACCTGGCATCCCCAGAGAGCCTCGCTGGTTCCAAGGGACTGCCTGCCTGGAAATCATTACAAAAATGGGGCCTCAAAGAATAGAATATAATTTTACTTCAAAGTGCTATAGTTTAAAATTCAGCATCTGTTTTAACTGATACTTTTCTTGTACAAGTGAAGTAATTTTGATGAGGAGGAAGAATGTTTAATATTTCCTAGTGCTTGAATAGGGAGTTCAAACATCCCCATTATTTTTTCTTTTTCTTTCTAGCTCTGTCATCTTGCCACCTGTAATTTTTGAGCCAGCGGAGGAATTCCCAGTGCCACAGTAATGCTTTGTATTTGTTCCTGTTGTGTTTGCTTTATTGGGTCTTTCTCTGTTGCTTCTGTTTTGTGAAAGTAATATGACAATATTTCTTTTAATGACGTTTTTGTTAGAATATTAGCTCTGCAATAAACATAGTATCTAGTTTGTGGTTGAATTTCTTTGCTACTGACCATCAGCATTCAATGCTCACTAATGACAGCATAGCAAGTAGATCTAGCACATGTACTTCAGGACAACGTCTGAACACGACTTTAGGAATTAAGCTACTTCTCAAAAAACTACAAGAAATATAAGATTCTTTCTGTTTCCATTACTTTTTAAACTATGGTCAAAAGCAGTTCTGTTGTCAAAAAGTGGTTTGTAGTGTTTCAGGATTCTTGTGTGAAAGAATGGAACATGGTATTGTTATAAAGATTGCACTTAGAGAACTTAAAAGTTGCATAGAAAAGCAGTCATATGAGGGAATGTTTAATGTTATGTCTTACAGTTTATCCTTAAGAAAAAGTCATTGTATAAATACTCTATCTTAAGTGAAATATTCTTTTCTAGCTGTTGTACTGTAATAACATAGCACCAGGAGGAACAGTGCTAAAGCTGGAAGGTATTGGTCTTATTGTTTTGACACACTGCTTTCCGGAAGTATTGCATAGTTGATCTGCTTTTGCTTTTATATAAGTTGTCTGGTACTACAGTTTAGTTTGCAGGGAAATAATTGTGGGTTAATCGTGCAAATCCATTTGAAGTTGAGAGTGTTGTATTCACAATGCCCATTGAAATAACAATGAAGATGGAGATACAAGTTTAAGTCCTTGGTTTGAAGGGTTAATTACTGATTTTGACCTTTTGAAAATTGTATGTTCTCCCTGTACTGAAATTTGACTACCAAGCTGGAGGTAGCCTATGAAGGAGGCAGAAGTAGGGAGTGATAATAAAATGGAGGTGTACAGCTTCACAAAACATCAGTTGAAATCTCGTAAGATTTCACAGAAGCTGCGTAATTTGGTGAATCACATTGGAAAGATGAGTCATCTGAACAAACAGTAAAGTTCTGTGACTTAATGATGTGGTGTAGAAATAACAAGGAAATATCAGACGACAAGGAAATTGTATAACATTTAAAAAAAAAAAACTCGCGAAGTTCATAGTATATATGCATCTTATGATAAGCAACTAGTATCTTAATGAGATGGAATATTTTAGCTGAAAACCCAAGTGATAGGTGTTCCCTAGCAGAGGTGAAATCAGGAGATTCAGAGACCTCCTTGCTCTCCTACATACTTATATTTGTCAATCTAATAGAATTGTGTGCAAGTGAAATGCAATTAAGAACAGTTTAGTTACTGATTTTCATCTATGAGAAGTAGTATCTATTCTCACTTCCTAAATTTTACACAGTATCTTTAGTAGAGTATTTCTACTTAGGTCTCTGAAATTTGAACAAGGAGGCATTTTTTAAATCACAAGCATGGATTATATTAGTGCTGTTGATGCAGAGGAACATAGATGTTGGTGTACTTGGAATATCCTTTGGTTTTGAATGGTATCTGCTTTTTTTCAGAGGAAGGAAGCCCATAAATATCCCAAGCAGGATTAGCCTGAGTACAGTGTTAAACTATTGGATAAATGACAGGTTTAAATCAGAGTGTAGACATTTAAATTTAAATTCAGCATTTCAGTTACTGTTTAGTGATTACGTTTGAATGCACTTTTTTTTTTTAAAGTAATTCATAGAGTGAGAACCACATTTTACTAGTGGAAGTGTTTCCTTCCAAAATGCATTGAGCTGCACATTTAAAAAAGTTAGTTCGTATTGTTTATGGCTCTTGCTTAGAGACATTCAGATTCTGATTATTCATTGATGCTTTCTGTACACAGTGCTTCTATTTTTTATTTGGATTATAAATCCTGTTTGTAATTTTGCTTTCTTCCATATAAGGGTGTGTTATAATTTAAGTCTATTTAAAAGTTCAAAAGTAATCTTTTTACTTCTTTCAAAAGTATTCAAAGATCTAATGCTTACTTTACTGGGTTTTTTTACAATAATATCTTCTCCAGTTAACATATGTATCTCCTTCCTGAAGCATAAATCCAGTCTTATACAAACTTTCACTCTGCTACAGGTAAAATCTTGATTTTGTGTTTCTGAAACACTGTTTTTCACTGATTCTACTGTAGACATTATGTTCATAAACTTTCTATCCTTAACATGCTGTTAATAATGAGCTCTTTATCAGCCTCATTATAATATATAACACCAACACTGATGACTGTGCATCTGCTGTCTTCAAGTCGGCTGTTGTTTTTAGAATCATAGAATCACATGAATAAATGGGAAGGAGATAATCCAGAGGGACAGTAGCTTGCAGAACTGCTTCCCATTTTAAGAATGATACGGTATTTTAGGAAGGAGATTTTATTAGCTGACTCCCTTTTTCATTTGTAATTTTAAACTGTAAATAAATATACAATCAGATTTTCTTTTCTGAAGTTTTCTGTTGTGTATCAACATTGAGTATGCAGGTGATTTGCTAGCTAGAGAGTTAGTTAAAATGTCATGACTGACGACCTGAAACAATAATATGTTGAGAACTGTGCAGTCCTTCATGTTCCACATCCCCTAAGGTCTTAAAGCTTGTATGTAGTCTTAAAACTTGGATGAAGATCCTTGAACTGTACAACCTGAAAATGGAAAAGTAAATACTGTGAAACTCCTTGTTATCTATGTGATACCGACAGGACCATACAAAATTTCTCATGCCTCTGTGTATGTGTTGTGGTGGGGAGTTAGTCTCGGATCTGGTTTTCTTTGTAAGTGAAATTTGTTCAGCAACAACTAATGAAGCTCCTGTAGTAAGTTACTTGGTAATATGGCAAGCAACATTTCACCGCAGGAAAAGATTGAATTTGGTTGGTACTATATATTTATAACAGGGCCCGTTCTGAAACCCTTCCTTTAAAACAAGGTTAGAATTCAGTGGCTGTTACATACAGAAATATACCACATGATTGGCTCAGAGCATAGCTCTCTGATTTCCCGTTTCTGGGGTTTGCTTATTTTGTTTGTGTGTGTGTGGTTTGTTTGGGGTTTTTTATGTTGGTGTTTTTTGTTTGGGTTTTTTTTTAGCGTGCAGCCAAGTGGTTCCACTCTACCTCCCCAAATATCCAACTCTGAATGTCTCATCTTTTCACTTGGCATTTAAAAAAATTGAATAACCAGAGTTTATAATTTCAGAATCACACTTCTTAGCATTTCAAAATTGTGCCGTTAAAGAAGCATGTCTCGTAGCATGTCTGTTAAACTAATAGTAGAAGTTTAAACATGTGAGACAGTCTATTCCTGTTTATCATGGCAATTCTGCAGTGTGTTTGTATTTTTATGGCAATATTGTAAATGGTGTCACCCTTTCTTGCTTGAGTGTACAAATCCAGTGGTTTATTAGTAAAATTTTGTTTATCTGACAATTGCAAAGTTACAACATTCATAATGTAACCACCAATTCAGATACATGAAATACTTTGCTGAAGCCTGAAAGTATACTTGAGATAGCAACATATGCTTCATTTCATTTCATTTTTATCATAATTGAATAAGGGGATGATATTTCTTTACTAGGTTATTTTTTTAATTACTATTAGTATGAAACTTGAAACATTCAATTACATGATCTACAATTTTATCATGTTACTTGGTCTGAGGATTTTTTGTTTGTTTGTTTTAACAGCAGTATCTCTCAGGATCTGAACTATACTTTTAGGCCAGTTCTATGAGTTTTGCGCAGAACTAAACTTCTTGCTGTCAATATCACCCAGTATTCTCTAACATAATATTAAAATATTAGCAGGGCTTAAGTAAAAACAGTAAGTGAAATTTATTCTGTTTTCTTTAAGGTTTCAGAAGGAGACAAATAACAAAATGAACAATCCAGCTATTAAGAGAATAACAAATGAAATTATCAAATCACCTGAGGATAAACGAGAATATCGTGGACTGGAATTGGCAAATGGCATTAAAGCTCTTCTCATTAGTGACCCTACCACAGATAAGTCTTCAGCAGCGCTTGATGTGCACATAGGTATTTAATGCATGTTGTGTTCATTATGTCATTAATAAAAATGCTTTAAGTTTTAGTGTCTTAATTGCAAATAAACTGACAAGAGTGGTATCCAGTTGGCAGCCTAGCCTTTTATTGTGATTTATAGTTAGTTTAATTCTTTGACACATCAAGTTGAAAATTATTAGAGCTAATTAAATTCTCTTACTGCACTCTGTTTACTCAAGTGTAGCTCAGTCAGTAGAAAGACTTCTTTTAACCATTAAGTTTCATGTTATGAAAGATCTTTTGTAAGCAGAAAAGGGGCGGGTGTGAGTGCAATTATTTCAGACAGCTCCATCTGTCATGTCAGACTTTTTTTTTCTTCCCCCTCCATGTTAAGTTGTTGATGTGTAGAGGTGAGAAAATGCTGTAGTGCTGGAAGAGTTGGAGAGGCACTCTGCGGTATTTCTCAAGCTTGTGTAGTTGCTCAGTTGCTTGGAAAGTATGATGCACGCGCACGTTACCTAAGCATCCTTACTCATTACCTAAGCATCCTCTTGCCATGTTTGTAGTTGGGAGCTCTTGCTGCTGTTGGTGTTAGGACAGAAGTAGTAGAGTAACTTTGAAAACTTCTGTCCTTTTTTATTATGGAGATAGCTGTGACAAATCATCTAGTTCAGAGGATCCCAAATGTGGTTTTGTCAGGTACTGTGACAGTAATAGCCAACTGCAGCATCCAGTTCCTGCATATGTACTGGAGTTGTATCTGTTGCCTTCATCTCTACTCTCCCATTGCACATTGTTGCACACTCCGAAGCAGGACCGCCAGACTCAAACTTCTGGCTTCCATTCTTGGACATTGTTACAGTCTTTTAATCTGTCTGCCCTCACACGTACTAGCTGGTCATCAATAGCTGCTTGTGTTCAGGCAATTACAGGTTATCACTCGTCCTATAAACCACAGGATAAATAGCTCATTAGTTGTTGTTGGCAATTGCTGCCTTTTAACACAGTGCAGATGTTAAAGTCAAGGTATAGAAGTCAGAACATTGTGATCTGCCAGGTGTTTACAGACTATGAGTCATGGACTTCAATTGAAAAATTGTCTCTATAAGGCAATGTAGGCTGATCTGGAGAGGCAATTTGAGACACTAATTGGTTCAGTTGCTCATTCTAAATTTTTTTTTTTTTTTTTTAAGATTGAGTTTAGTTGGCTATAGCTGCACAAGTGTCTGCTTACATCTACAGAATTGATATAATTGCCTGAGGCAACATACTGTACTATAAAGCACTTTAAAAGACTTAACGTTTTAGTATTACTTTTTATGAATGGTTACATGAAACTTTTCCCTCTGCAGGATCCTTGTCTGATCCCCCCAACATTGCTGGGCTTAGTCATTTTTGTGAGCATATGCTGTTCCTGGGAACCAAGAAATATCCAAAAGAGAATGAGTATAGCCAATTTCTTAGTGAGCATGCTGGGAGCTCAAATGCTTTCACGAGTGGAGAACATACCAACTATTACTTCGATGTGTCACATGAACATCTAGAAGGTGCACTAGACAGGTAAATGCATTTTTTTTATATTTAATTTTTTGTTATATAGTTACTGTTTGAAACTGTACAAGTTTTTTGATGGTTTTATCATTATGGTACTAAAGAAAGGGTTGAGAGCACTATCTTTTGTTAAAACTGATACCAGATATTTTTCGGTTCAAAAGTTTTGTTCAGATTTTTTTCAGCTGGCAGAGTTCTTCACTGAGGCAGAATTTTTGAAGTTCAAAGGTTGTGTTTACACTGAATATTTTTGGAAATGTGGGGCACAGAATATGATAATGACCTTATGCATTGTGCAAATACTCTGATTGTATAATCAAATACTATGCTTCCCATAGGATGTTTATTTCATTGATAGCACAAGAAGGATGAAGTCTAGAAATATATTAGGATGCCTTTAGTAAAGGGAATTCACTGAAATCTCTGCCTTTTGTGGGAGGGGACAGAAATTGAAAGGTGCGTAGTCAGTGAGATAAAGAGTGGATTTTCCCTTTGGATTTTCTCTGGAAGTCTGACATGACTGATTTGATTTGCGAGATTAAGAGTCTCTTGCAGCTAAACTTCAAAACAGTAGAAATTTTCAGTGTGTGAATTATGATGCAAGGTTCTAGATCCTTGTTGTACCTTATATGAGGAATATGTTGTTGCCTGCATTTATAGATAAAGAAAATTGAGAAATAAAGATAGTGAATCAGTGTCAAAACTGTTACAGAATTTATAAGTTCTGCATTAAAAAATATATATATTCAGCTGTTTTCAGGAGGTACCAACTTTCATACTTTTCTGTTACCATTTATGTACAGTACTCTTGACTTGAATTAAAATTTTTCTGTTTAGATTTGCCCAGTTTTTCCTGTGCCCTTTGTTTGATGAAAGCTGCAAAGATAGAGAAGTGAATGCTGTTGATTCTGAGCATGAGAAGAATCTGATGAATGATGCCTGGAGGTTGTTTCAATTGGAGAAGGCTACTGGAAACCCCAATCATCCCTTCAGTAAATTTGGAACAGGTTTGTCCAGATATAATTATCCATGCATGGGAGTTCTGTGTAACATACATAGTATTATTGTATATATAAAATTGTTAAAGAGAGACTGACACAATTCCATTTTTTTCCTCTCCGTACATGTTTATTATGGTGCTTTATCACATTTTCCACATCATAGACCAAACAGAGCTAAACAAAACATAAGAAACAGAGTGATCCAAGACTTGCAGTACAGCGATGAAGCATCCTTTATGATTTTGATAATTACTGCAGTGAATGCTGTTTTCCAATTATGGGATTTGTCATAATTTGGTACTGTTAAATCTTTGTGCATAACAAAGTGAATGAACTGTGTTTAAATTGTTGTTAGCCACATGTTCTTTTTGCTAACTAGTATTGCATTAGGACTAGATGACAGTGACTAGGTTCAATCAGAAAGATCAGCAAAGTAACGTGAAAATTACTGAGTAAGAATATAACACCAAAATCTTAAGCATGAAACACAACAGTAGTAAATGGATAGATAAAACGGTCTTGGACAAATCCCAGGCTTTATTATTCACAGAACGCTTAGTAACAATTTAAAATAAACACCCCAAAACCTCAATTTAAAAAGCATTAAAGTAAGATACCATAGTTATGGTCAAAACCACAAATGTTTGATGCTTTCGCAGAAGTTTAAATGCTTTTTTTTCCCCATAGAAGTTATTTTTTGCATGTATTTATTTTTGAAACTATCAAAGTAACAGGGCTATTAATTCATGCACTGCACTGTTTAATCCTTGAGCGTGAATGTGTTTTGTGGCTGGGTCAGTTTGCTGGATGAATAGTTGATGCAAATATTGGGTATAGTAGGATGATGGGAGGGCAGATAATGGGCTTTAAGGACTGGTTTCTTCCTCTGTCTCAAGAAAGAGAAGAATATTTTTGCACCTGTTGGTGGAGGGCACAGTTGAGGGGCTGGTAGCCAGCTGCTACAAGAGCATGTATTGCTCTGTTCGCCAATAAAGAGAGGTTGTCTGAAACGGGGAAACTACAACTGCATTCTCCAAACAGGTAAATTTGAAAATAAAGTCTTGGGAACTATATATAGATACTCAGGCAAGCATCCAAAGCATATCCTGTAATTTCTGCTATTGAAGAGATTATTTAATTTTTATATAGCACTCCGAAAACATAAGTGGAAGTTGCAGAAATAGTTTTCTACAATTTAAGAAGGTTTTATAGCTGGCCACAAGTGAAATGTTTTCGTGGGGAGAATACCCGAAATGTGATCAAATTCAAAGCAGTAGTCATACTCATCTCTTCTTAGATTAGGCTCTGATCCTGAAATTAAATTATAGCACATAGCCTTCCTGTAGATCTGACTTTGCAGAAGTAGAGCCCACCTTTGATGGTTTTTATTTACCCAAAGAGATGACAACTGTGATTCGGTTTTCATGACAATTGCAGTTGACATCCTCGTTATTGTTTCCTTTTGATCAGCTGAGATGTTAGTCTAGCAAAATACAGGAACGACTCCATTTGATGCTTCAGGTCACTCCTCGTTGCTATGCAGCCTGTTTTGCCAGCAAACCTTCTATTACTCTTTGTCTGTCCAGAGAAACAAATGCACCTTAATCTTTCAGTTTTCTAGGATGTGCATTTTGTCCCCAGATACCCTTCACTCATCTCCCTGAATTCATGCCTATGATGGTAATTATTCTTCATCAGTACCCGCAACAGTGTCAAGTATTTTTCCAGGCACTTTTGCATGGTCTAGTGTCCATTTTCCTACATCTACAAGGTGTCTTCTGACTGTTGCCTCTTAATGTACTCCAGTACTGTAACAGCACAGTTACTGAGCCAAAGCTTTAGCTTTATTTTATTTTAACCAATGTATTGATTCTGTGGGAATAAACACAGCAGGGTATCTAAAACTTCTGCATTTCATTTGTCTGCAGATGGTGAGGAATATAGACAAAATATTTTAAACATAATACCCTAATTATCCTTTGTAGGTGTCATTAAGAATCCTTGCTTTTACTCACCAGTGAACTTTGAAAATTAAAGCAATATATTGCTTCAGGCAGCCTCTCTATGATAATTTGTGGACTGTTGCAGTTGTAATTAGAGTTGTATCTGATCACCAAACACCTGGACAATAAACTTGTCTATTATTTATGTGGCTAATTTTGCTTCATTGATTTGTATTAACTTGTATCTGTGATTGTAGAATTTGTGCACGGGGCATGTATATATGCATAGCAGGCATGCTCTCCCAGTCTTTTCTCTTTTTCTTGCTGTCAGCTTTTCTGCTACATTTTCTTGCCTTATTCTTCCTCCTCATCCATTGCTTTCTTCTGTACCTGGTCTGGTTGTGGCTTAAGGGACTTACTGATCTCAAAGTTAACAGACAGAGTATTAGTTTGTAGTTCTGGTCTGTAGATACTGCTGACCATTTTGTGTGTCCATGTAGTAATGGGAAGTGGAGTTGATTAAAGTCCAGTGTGCTCTTCGTAGACTCTAATTTTTCTGTTGTTTCAAATTCTTACTTTCACTAAACACGAGTTCTGCTTTGACTATAAACGTGGAGTGTGTCCTTAGAGTAAATTATTGAAAGCTTGATGTTGATGTAAAGATTGCACTAATTAACAGGAGAATAACTTAATGGAGAAAGTTTGGTATCTTCTGCTTATGGGCTTATTCAGGGAGAGCTGTAGTTCTCTTCCTCTCTAGTCCTGTTCCTCTACTGCAGCAACAGCTCGGCTGTTTATGAAGCAGAAGCTGAACAGTCAGAATTTACAAATCATGTTTGTAAATTAGTAATTATTTATTTCGTTTAATATACTAGGCTGTAATTTGTGGCACACAATGCCACAAATAATTTCACACAGTGATTCCTATGACAAGAGTATATGGGAGTAAAACCTACTCCAAATGTGCCAGAGAAAAACCTTTCTCCTGAGTTAGAGCATTGCTTTGAAATAACCCATTCAAATTAAAAAGATTAATTTGGAAGACTAAAACATCCTCGGTTCTTTAGGAATGTGCAAATTGAGAGTGGAAGTATTTATTGTCTCTGATAAGCTGAGACAGTATTGATCCAGTTTACTTATTATGCATAGTAATTATTTTTAAAATTACTAGCCATCTGAGGAAAGCAGATTTATTAATTTATATTTTTCTTTTTGATTTGTAAATCCATAAACATCAAGTATTGTTAACTTTTTTTTTTAATGTTACAGGGAACAAACTCACTCTGGAAACTAGACCAACCAAAGAAGGAATAGATGTAAGACAAGAGCTATTGAAGTTCCATTCTACTTATTATTCATCAAATTTAATGGCTATTTGTGTATTAGGAAGAGGTGAGTTTTGTTCTGTTGGTTGAGTAAGACTTTACATGTATTTATGCTTGAAGAAAATGAAGTGTATGCAAGTGTCTGAAAAGCTACGGAAGGGAAAAAAGTAAAACTTTTACAGTGTGACCAAACATAATTTTATGTTTAGTGAAGTCTCCAAAGCAACTTGCAATGTATACATTTATGTGTTTGTAAGCTTACAATAGAAAAAATAAGCTGAAAATTTTATATCCATTATCAAGTCATCAGTTGCTGTTATTGTATGTTTGTCTTACGAAGACTGACACCTGTGTGGTTTCAGATGTTGGGAGCACTTTTGATACTGTTTTCATATTTTAGACTTATACTTCCACTACAAAAATTTCTGTATTATCAAAGGATAAATCTAACCTAACATTTAGATAAAAAGTTTACTTCTGAGTTAACTTAACGGAGGTTCCAACTGCTTAAAATCTTCCACAGTCGAGATGATATTTTACATAGGTTTGCCAAAAGCTTAATAACAGTGTGTTGAAAACTGTTTGCTTTTTGAAAATATGCTGGCAGAGTGGTATTTGTGTGGTGTTTTACAGTAATGCTCGGATGGTGAGTACGAATGGAATAAAATTCATTAGCAAAGTGAAATCTTCCTTTACAACTATCCATTTACAGGATGCTAAGTATGAAGCCGATTAACAAAATGTACCTGTTTAATTTCAATCATAGCATATATATGAATCATTTTTTCTTGTAGATTTTTAAGGTGGGCAAACACAGTGAGGATTATACTTTTTAACGGAATCGCAAGTTTTGTGCATATATTCACTACTGAATCAGTTCCAGGCTCCCTAATTCCTTTCAATTCAATTTATTATTATATCTCACCTGCTGTAACATCACATATTGATTAGAATATGGTGAAAGGTTTTTTCACTGTTGCAAGCTGAACAGTAAAATGTATTAGTGTTTGGGTTTGTTTTTTGTTTTTTTTTTTTTTTAAAAGGTGAGGTATGAGATGTGTTACTAGTAGGTGTGTAGGTAGAACCACTAGGGCTTAATGTATCTCATGTGTGAAAATGCCTTGCTTATTCTCCTGGTAGCAGTGGAAACTTTCTGCAAGTAAACACTATAATATTGATGAAGATAGCTTGTAAATATTTTTCAATATTGTGAATTTATTTTTATTGCTATTTGAAAAAGGTGCTTCCTCCTTCTCAGTTTTTTTTTCTTCTGTTTATTTTACCTGAGCAAAATAAAAAAAAACCCACCCTTTTATTTTCTTTAAAAATATTTATTATTAATTGAAGGTAAATAGATATTGATCAGAGTTTAAAACAGTTGAATTAAAATTCTCTTCCTCATTTAACAGTTCTGTTTTCAAGGTTTCCAGGCATCTTTTTTTCTTTAACTAGTTCTTTACTTTGCAGGCAATATTCCAGGACAGACAAGATCTGCATTTCAAATATCAATAAAATGTAGAAAATAGTCTTAAAATCTGTTACCTTTCACACATTTCTGCAATTTGTATATATGGGTTTTTTTACTACAAAATACAAAAATTATTCTTGTTAAAATCCTGAATTTAGGTGGTTTTACCTGGTCACTTTCCACAGTCGAATTCTTTCAGTGTGAGTTGCCCCTGCAAATAGTTCAATATTTAGAAAAATTAGGAGCCTTTGAAACGTTGATCTTTGGGATTTTTCTTTTCAATCTTATAAAATAAATAAATAAATTTTTGAAAGGTAACTCTCAGGCTTTTTGTTCGTCTGCTTGTATACAAAATGCCATACAAGTACAGTTATTTGTCATATTTAATAGGTAGTTGTCACTGTAATAGTGAGGTGCTATCTGCACAAAAGTTGCATCTTAATTTCTCTGAAAAGACACATAGCTTTTCTCACTCTGTTATTGTGCAAGCAGGAGAATTATGCAATTGCTTTCCAGAAGGCTTTATATTAATGACTGATTTGGCTATTTGAGGGCTTGCCTCAAATTTGAAAATTTACAAGTTCTACGTCCTTCCTGGTTTGTTTTTTTTTTTTTTTAAATTATTTTCAGGGAGCTCCACACATAAAAAGCAAACTGCAGAAAACGAACCTTGTTAGCATTATTCCATAAATTCTTTGCTGAAATACCTTGCTGTCAATATAGCAGTACTGCTAATTAATACATAAATAAATAGTTAGAAATTCTATAACATAAAAATATGTTGAGTTACACACTGCAGGTCCCCCATGATCTCTCTCCTCTTGTGCATTCTAAAATAAATGTACAGCCTAGTAATTCTCTGACTTTCCCACCATGTTATATATGTAATGTAAAACAAATAAAAATATATGTCAGTAAAAAGTGGTGGGGGAATCAGAATATAATTTCTCTAGTAAATAGTAATAAATATTCAAAAGTTTGCTAAAATTAAATAATTAAATTCAATTAAATTTTTTACCTAATCAGACGCGAAGTTCACTGAGTAATCATAGAACGGCTTTAGTACAGCAGTTCACACATAGACTTTTAAATGGAAACTTTTTCAGTAAGAATCATCCTGGCAGCTGGAAATCTGTCCTAAAGAAAACCCTCTCAGTAGTTGTAAAGCATAAATGAATGTGTATTTTGCTGATGTGGATAAAAAATGGTGAATTAATAGAATTACAGGCAGTTCACAAATTTTATTATACAGTGACCCATTTTGGTTTGCATTGGTTTTTTTTTTTTTCCCCCTGCACGGTTCTCTCAGTGTAGTGTAGGAGCACGCATATGTTGGGCAGGAAAGATTCTGCTTTCTAAATCTAACTGGGATTGTTTTGACTAACAAGGTGACCGCTTTTTGAAATCTTTCAAGGATTAAGGTTGTACTTTGACACATCCAAGAAACGCCCATTTTTTTCTTCAACACCCACCCTTGAAAGGAGTGTGCTAAAAAACTTGACAGATGAGTCTTTCTTATCTTATTCTCACTTTGAGAAGTGCTCCAAAATGCATTTCTTTTAAGCAGATAGCTATTTTGAAGGCAGTATTTCAACAGAAACTGTATAGGTCAATTTAGGTGAATTCATGCAGAACATCAAATTCTTTCCGCAAATGGTCTTTCTCTCGTTTTTGGAGAGTACTAGAGTCACAGACTGGAACTAGAATGGATGTAAAAGTAGAAGTGCTTAAACAGGTCACAAATGTGTGTGAAATTTTGGGGCGCTGAGGACAGATGACCCTGGCTCACAATGTACATGAAGTACTGGAGGTGAGCTGAGGCTGAAGAAAATCCAAGTTTTGGCAAAGATGCTTTCACTCTGGAAAATTTGCAGCTGTAATTCCCTTAAGCTTTTTGTGGAATGTTTATTTTTGTAAATGTTCAATATCTGGTGTGTCTTTTTTTCAGTTCCAGATTAGATTCATCAGTAAAATTTAAAAATGTTTTTTCTGTTCGCAGGATTTATTTTAATCATGGTTGAAGCCTTCTTTTAATAAGCATGGTGCTTATAGCATGTTATAGTTCAAAACTTAAGTATTAATACAGATTTCCTTTCTGAAATTAATAATCATCATACCATTAAAACTACTTTTCTGTATAATTCATGTTTCCCCCAAAGAATATACAAAATCCAGATTTGCCAGAATCTTCAGATAATTATTATGCTTTTTCTAATGTTTCTTTATTCTAGAATCCTTGGATGAGCTGACTTGCTTAGTAGTAAAGTTATTTTCAGAAGTAGAGAATAAAAATGTCCCTATACCAGAGTTTCCTGAACATCCTTTCCAAGAAGAACATCTCCGGGTACGTTATAGAGATACATCTTCCATCAAGAGTGTATACCTTACATGATTTTTTTTGTTTGTTTCAGTATTACATTGTGCACTTCAATGCTTTTGTATCAGTGTCCCTGTTAAGTTCCATATTTCTTTCTTAATTTTCCACCCACCTTTCCATGCTGAGTATAGTATAGTTTTGTATAGTTTATAGTAAAGGTTGTACATTTGGTTGCAGCTGTAAGCAACTGAGAGATAATTAATTCTCTTTTTGTTTGGATCGTGAATGGCTAAAGTGTTGCCCTAAGTTTTACAGACCTTTACTTTTGAGATTTTGTTGATTTGTTTGTAATAAAATGTGTATGTGTGAAGGGAACATGGTATGTGCTCCTGAGACGAATAAAATAATGAGAGTTTCCTTTTGTTTATGGAGCTCCTTGTTTATTTTCCCCCTCAGCAACTTTACAAAGTGGTACCTATTAAGGACATTAGAAATCTTTATGTCACGTTTCCTATACCAGACCTTCAGAAGTACTATAAGTCAAACCCTGGCCATTACCTTGGTCATCTGATTGGGCATGAAGGCCCGGGAAGTCTTTTATCAGAGCTTAAAGCCAAAGGTAAGTCCTTTGAAGGTAAAGAATTAAGAAGTAATTTATTACATGATTTTTAAAGCTTAGCTACGTTTCATTTAAAATTGACCTCTGTATGTTAAATTTAAAGCCCCCAACTGTTTGAGTAATTTGAATTGTAAGTCATTTTGCACTTTATTTTTGTTTCTGTGGTGGGTAAAAAGAAATAAATAACAGGCACTCTGACTACTGAAGCTAGTATTTCTTCCACTGCCCTTTATCTACCCTGTTTAGAGAGTTATATGAACTTCGACATAATGATCTTGTCTCTATTCTGTCACTGACTTAGAGACTACTGTCAGGTCCCTTAATGTCTGGAAGACTACAAGAGTGTATCTTTTGCTATTTTTCTTTATATTACTGTGTTCCAAACAGAAATAAATTACCCAGTAATCAAATGATCTTGAGTTTGTCATATCACACTGAGCACAAAATCAGGTACGTCTGACTTGTGTTATGTTTAATTTGCACTGTTGCTATAGGCATTAGGGAAGAGAAGGAGAACATGTAAAGTAGTCAAAATGTTAAAAAAGAAAAAAAGGTAATTTAATGTTGCTGAAGCATACAAAAAGTAGCAAAAATTGTTACAGATTTGTTTATGTAATATATTTTCATTTTGATTTCGTAGGATGGGTAAATACTCTTGTTGGAGGACAGAAGGAAGGTGCTAGAGGTTTCATGTTTTTCATTATTAATGTGGACTTGACAGAGGAAGGACTTCGTAAGTGAAGCACTGTGTCTGCATTCCATGTTATTCCTGATCTGATGGGTTTGTGTTTGTATCCAAAGAGACTGTGTTTATAGCTTGAAAGCCAATTTATTTTAATTAACTGGTTGTTATTCTGTGTTTAGATCCTCTCACTGTGCTAACACACTTAATCTAACATAAGAAACCAACTTATTTGAGGTTATATTAAATTGAAGTATTTCATTACATATTTTAAGGTAAATTTCTTTAAAAGAAAAGCCTTTGTGTGCTACTTATTCTTACTATTTAGACCTGAGTTAAATGATATTATAAATCAATATCTTGTGTTAAGACATGTTCAGTGCAGTTCTCAGAATTGGCTGGGGACCTAAACACTTACCTTAAATTCATGTCTGAGAAAAACATGTTTAACTTTGCCAGTGGAATTGCATAGGTACTTAAATATCTTGATGTATCAGGGTGTAATTAAAAATAAAAACGTACCTATTTGTGTTCATCAGAATTTTTTCTTTGTGCAGAACTCAGTGAATTATTAAGCAAGTATTTTTTTCTTTCCAGTGCATGTTGAAGATATTATTTTGCACATGTTTCAATATATTCAAAAACTACGTACAGAAGGACCTCAAGAATGGGTTTTCCAAGAGTGCAAGGTACAGTGATTGGTACTTGAAATATGTGGTGGTTGTATTTTTACAAATTTTTGGATTATAAGTAGAAACGGATTCATTGTCTGTGGAAGTAGCTTTTAATAATCACATGATAATTAAGTTTATTAATTTTAAAGGTGCCAGCATGACACAGATGACAAGTACATTCAGAATATATTGTCTTAATGTAGATGTGAAATACTCTTACAGAGCTGTGAGTTGACATTTTATGCTAGTATAATGGAGGTGGAGGAAGAAGTGTCTTACTCTGTCCACAAGGATTTTGCATAACCTTCCTTAGTCTTCACTGAAGGTGGAGGCAGGGAAGCATTTGCTGTGAGGGGTAACATTGAATTGGAAATTCAAATGGCTGTTATTCTACCCCTCTCTTCTTTCATGTGTCAAATTGTATAGTTGATACTGTAAAAGCAGTAGGACATTTAATCTGCTGTTTGTTCTTTCATGTTTTTGAGAGGTGAACTAAAACTTTTCATGGAGTACTTTGGCTTTGAACCGTTCATGGTTCTTGTAAGTCTGTATGGTTCTGTGTGCACAGAGCAAAAATGTAAAGTATCCTATTAGAATTAAATAGTACTGCACTTCTCAGTGACAGTGTGAAATAACAGTTTTATTTGTATGTATAGTCTCATTGGTTCACTACAAATACTTGGGTAGAGATTTCTTGTTCCATCTTAGCTTTATTTGGTGAAAACTATTGAGTCTCTTCTGTCTAAGAGTAGAAATTCTGCAGATGCGTTAACTTTATTTCTTGCATTTTGACACTGTATACCTGTAAAAGAAATGTCTTTACCCCCTGCTAAAAGTCTCAATGGAATTGTTTCACTGTCATTGTAACCAAATAGAAGATTTGAAAGAGGTAGTTCCATCCTCCCATCTCATCCCTATGTCTTTCCCTTGCTCTTCTTGTATCAGCCCCAGCACTCCTGAGGCTGTGAGGTGAGTCAGAAGAGCTGGCAAACTAGTTTGAAAAGAATCTTCTTTTGAGTTTATTTTCAGCTGAATTGTTGAATTAACCAGACTCTCTCCATGGTTTCACAGAAGGATGGACTGTCCTTTTCATTGGCTTTATAGTCTTAGGTCTCTTTAATTCACTCTTGCCATTGTATTGTAAGAATGATGTGTTCTATTTCTGTGGCTAAGACAGCATAAAGAAACACACTTTTTCGGTTTTTAAACTCACCTTTTGTATGGCTGAACAAAAAAGGAAGAAGGAAAGGCTTCAGTTCATTAGCATACAACGAACATTGCACTGGAACACTGTGCATTGGTTGTATCAAAGTTAGTGTGTTTTCAAATTATCAGGAAATTTAAATATATGAGCTATGGGACAAATCTCTTACGACAAACAGGACTTAAAAGACTTGTATAACGCTTTACATTGTGAGACTATCCGAAATTGCTTGTGAGTTTTGTGCAATTTATGTTATAAAAAGGAATTAAGTAGCCAGTAATTATTCTTAAAATAGTCTTTAATATATGCTTTTCAACCCTTCCTACATTGTTTCCTAGGATCTAAATGCTGTGGCGTTCAGATTTAAAGATAAAGAACGACCACGAGGTTATACATCAAAGCTTGGAGGAATGCTGCATGTAAGTGTGTGTGGGTTTTGGGGGTTTTTTTGGGTGTTGTGTTTTGGTTTTGTTTTTTTTTTGTTTTTTGTTTTTTTATAATATAGTAATCATGTATGTTTGATTACATATAGTATGTTTGATTACACTCTTAATAAACAGAAGTACTTGCAAAGGTTCTTTGCACTTCTTGAGCTGAGAAAGCTAATATCGTGCTGCATAGATCTTAGTTTGGGCAGTCAGTAAGTCACATTTCCTTCATACTCTACCATTTTATACTTTTATACTTGGCAGGACTGATTTTACAGTAACTCGAGTTGCTATTTGATCTGTTTCAGTGTATCTTAAGACGTATGTACCTTGTCATTCTGTGTCTACCTGATAGCTAATGTTCTCTAGGGAAATATTAGAGAAATAATATTTTATCATAAACACAAGCACTATGTTTCTCAATGCTTCCATAGTTAACAATGTTGAAATACTCCAGTAAGCAGAAATGTTCGTATTAAGATAGCAAATTAGAAATGTTTGACTCTACTAATGTGATTACGTATTGGTACTGAAAGAATCATCATGTAGCTTATACTTAGTCTTTATACTTCTTGCAAAATTCAGTTCCCTCATTTTGCACTAAAGGAAGATATAGGCAGTTGGGTTTTTTTGTCTAGTGAAATTCATGCAACTTCTACACGTTGCAGCCATTCTCCATTGTACAGCTAACGTCTACATCTACTCAGAGGCATTTTTGGTTTCTTTGCAGGAATTCCTGTTAATGCTCCTACACCTTTAATTTCTAAAGTCTAAAATAACGATCTTTAATTTTAGAATTGTTTTTCTGTTTACTAAAAAGCATTAGACTTAAAACATTTAAATGGATATTTAAAGGAGCTCCTATTTGTGATGCTGTCTCTTGCTTTTGTTCTGTCAAAAGCATAAAATCTCTTTAACAAATGGCCTTCTGACTTCTGAAACAGACTTTCAGTGGTCTGTATTTGTTGGATCATTCCCGATTACAATTGCTGTCTCCAAAAATCAGGCCAGGAAGTTGCCAGCAGTGTTCCAAAGAGCAGGGTATTGATTCAGGGCTTTTTTTTTCACTGCTTTTCTTTTGCTGTGCTTTGCAGTATGAATAGTAATTTTGATTCTGCTGTTAGTTGCTTAAACACTAATAAAAAAATAACTTTTCTAGTTCTCTTTATGGCCTCCGAGTCATACTAAGTTTATGCTTTGAATTAACCAAGCTAGAACTGTTGTTTGCTGATTTCATGCGCTTACAAATGCTATCTGTTTTTCATAACTTGGAGAAGAACCCGTGTATAAGTTAGCATGAATAAATGCAATGTCGTAAGTTGTTACATATTTACCAAAAGGATTTAAAAAGCCTTTTTATTCAACAAAACAGAAGTTCATCTTTAAAGCACGTTTGTGCTGGTCTAAGGAGTCACCACTAAGGTCTTGCTGTCAAATTACATTTCATATTTGTCAGGTGTAGGCTTGATGTTTTCCAGGTAGTTGTTCCCTCGTTTGCAGTGCGCTGCTTCTTTTCTTTTGTTTTGTCTCCTTAATTGTATAATTTTTAAAATTTCATTTTAATCTGATTGTCATATGTAGATTGTTTTAGTCTGTTTTATTCTAGTTGCATTATGCTCTGACCTTGCTGAAAAGTAATCACAGAATCATAAAATGGTTGAGGTTGGACTGGACCTCTGGAGGTCATCTTGTCCAACCCTCCTGCTCAAGCAGTACAAAAATAACAAAGTAACCAAATACATTTTATGTTCAATTCCAGTTGGTGGGCAGACCGTGGCCTGTGTAAAGGAAATAAAGTGTAGGCTGTTGGTCACTAAATCTGTATTGCCATGGTAGAAGTGCACAGATTACTTAAAACGTCTCCTTCAGGGTGCTTAGTCTGCTTAGCCGTTAATGTAGAATGTAGTTAAATGAGTGTTCTTCAGTATACGATGAATCTTTTGGACATAGACCTTTCAAATTCTGAATCTTTAGCATTCACATTTGAATTTTTTGTAACACAGGTTTGGTTCATTGTCCTTGGTCTCCAGCCCGACCCCGGCCCTTTCTCTTTTCTAAAATCCTTTGTGTGAGTTACTCTGTGTTCTGGAAGTCGTTCCACTGTAGTTTTTTGTATAATGTATGTGATTCAAAAAGCCATTTTATAATAATTCTGTACATTTGTATGGCAAACTGCAGGTACTTGGTGCTTAGGTCACCTAGTTTTTTTCCCTTGGTAAACAGATGTTTATCAACAAAGTTTTCCTGTCAACCACACTGATCATTTTCAGAGGAATTGTAACTGTTTTTTCTTCTTGAATTGCGATGTACCTTAAGAGATTTTCCGTTTGATCCTAAATAAAAAATGTGAGAATTAAAATTGTGTAAATTTGTATTATACTTTTAGATAATTGAAATATACTTTTAAATTACTGTAAATAAAAATGGAATTCTTAGAGAATGCTAAAAACCTTAGTGGGTAGGGGGTTTTTTTTCCTTTGTTATGTTTTGTTTTTCCCAAATGCACTCTAGCGAGTACTTGGTGTTCTTTTAGCGAGTACTTGGTGTTCGTTTAGTGAGTACTTGGTGTTCTTTTATCTTTAAAAATATCCTCCAGGGGTCAGCATTTACCATGTGATTTTTGCTTCAGTTGCTTCTAAACAGTATTTAAAGGTGGGTGACTTTTTATATTGAGCCATAAAATATTTCAAGAGAAAAGAATGGTAATATGCAGTGTATAAAATTACCTAATGCAGGAGAAATATGATTGCATAGTTAGAATACTACTCCAACTTGTTTAGTTTTAAGAGAAAGATTTTAAGACATCTATGCACTACTGATTTGAAATTACCAAGGTAGTAACAGATTCAGTGACCAGAAGTATGCACTTTTATTTTCTTTATAAAATAGTAGTTTTTTCATGCTTAGTTTTTGTTTAATTCATGTACCTGTTTCTGGGCTTTGTTTTTTAGTATTATCCTATAGAAGAAGTATTGGCTGCTGAATATTTGCTTGAAGAATTCAGGCCTGATTTAATAGAGATGGTACTGGATAAATTGAGACCAGAAAATGTTCGGTAAGTTAAACTGTAATAACTTGTATTTTAATCCAAATATAAGAAAGCAGATGAACTAATAGAAACACAAATTCTTAGGTGTCTCTTACAGCTCCAAAGTGAATGTCACTGAAAAAGAGCTAGTTGTTCTGTGTGTTAATGTCTCTGCTCCCCATTGAAAATAATCACTCTTAAGTGCATGCAACTCTTCCTGTTCAGACAGAAACGTCCTTTCAGTCCTTTCTATGCAGGATGTCTTCCTCAGCCTGAAATAGTTTTTAGGAAGATACTTACTCGGAATAGCTCAACTGTTACTGAGAAAAAGCCTAGTAAAGTTATCCTGCCTCACTAAATTCTTGGGACATTTTATATAGAATGCTCTAATATTCATAATTTGGGGCTAGGTCTGGAAATCTGTTAAGAGGATGGCTTTTATCTGCTGTATGTATTTTATTTTCCCTATGGAGAGCTACGAAACTTCATGCAGATTAGCAGACCCTCTGAAAAATACCAATTTATGTGGGTAGAAAATAGCTATGTCTTTAGCTGCTAAAATCTCTCAGACTTCCAGAGCATCTCTTTCATGTGAGTGTAACCATACTGGACATGTGCTTTCTTTGCAGAGTGAGTGTGCTGCAGTACAAATTTCAGGGCTCAGTAATTGGTCAGACTAGATGTTGAACGGAACGGGGGAAGCCTCTCTCTCCTGTGCTTTTGAGGATCTTCTGTTGGCACCCAAGCAGGATACAAAAGGGAGGCTGAAAGAACAAATGTACCTAATGTGTACTTGAATACCTAAAGAACAGTAGTGTGACCATGATGAGGGAAATAATACTTTGCTGAGATGATGATTTACAAGTGAAGGAATCTGGAAGACGTAGAGAAGAAAATGAGGGCAGGTGAAAAAAGGGCGTATTAACTGAGGAGGAGGAAGGGCTGGGCAAATGATTAATGAAGGGAGGAAGAGCCTGGGACAAGAGAGCTGGCAAAGGACATAATGGGAGTAATTTCTAGGGGGGATATTGGTAGCTGTGGGGAACTGGTATCTCAGACAAGAATGGATAGAGAGGCTGACTAGTGGAACTTCTGGGGATGACTAAGTGCAGATTGGACAAAAAAAATGAGAGGGGGTTAGGGATTGGGACTAGCAGGCAGAGTGGAGGTAAGAGAGCAAGTCTAGAAGAAAAGATTATGTCAGGCTTAGCAAGGATATTCAACGGAGAGTCCTGAATCATGGAAACAGGGCAAACAGAAGAGGCAAAGAGGTCCGAGACAAGGAGTCTGAGGTAGGACAGCAGCAGAACTGATGGGACCAAGCTTGGAGGAACTGAGCAGAAAAGCCTGTGCAGACTAAGTGCAGTATAGTCTACAAAGGGCAAAGAAACAAAAGTTTGCCAAGTCTTGCTATTTTTGTTTTTTTTCTCTGCAAATGTATGCTTTTTTCCCTCTTTTTCCCCGTACAACTTCTGTTTCAGTTCTTACAGAATAAAAATGTTCTGGAATTACCTGATAAGATACCAGTACCATGTATTGCTCTGCCTGCCCTACTAATGTAGTTCCAAAGTGTGTAATGAAAGTAACAGGAATCTGCAGAAAGAGAAAAGTACAGACTCAAGGTTAGGACTGTTTAATGCTGCTCAGGAGAACTGAATTCCTTTGCTTTGTCATAAGCTTCCTAAATGGCACGAGACAAGCTCCTAAAACAAACTTTTCACAGCAAGCACTGTTTATCAGTGTTTTGGAAGCCAGGTATATGGTACAAAAAATAATGATTTTTTGGGGAGTCTGTTTCTGAATATGTTCCACACTGAAATTTTTAGATGGTGTTGGATATAGAAGGACAGCGAGGCATGCATTCATATATTTCTAGAGTTTATATATTTCAGCCGTCTGAAATGACTGTGAGTTACTTAAGTTTGGGCACAAATCTTCACTATGTTTGCTCATATGACAAAATCTGTCTTGTATATTCATTTAATTTAAGATGCATGTTACTCTATTTTCAAAAGATGGTATATTTCAAATAATTAATGGATAAAGTAGGATAAAATTGGATTATGAACTGTATTTGCAAATGTCACGGGATTCTGGTCTTTCTAGGGGTATACGAGTAATGATAAAATAAATGGAGCTGCCTATGTTAGTGACTGTAGTTGCCATAGTAATTAATGCCCTTTAAAGAAGGGCCTATATCTTTGTGTGTGGGTGTGCACCTATGTGTAATGTGTGTGGGATACTGCAACTGAATATTACGAGAGATCATATTTTGAACAAACAATACTTTAAAGAAAATTTCCAGGTTCTCTTTCTATTGTATTAAATACTTCTATTTTGAATGTATTTTCATGACTGCCCAACTTCTTGGAAATTTGATACAAGAACTTATCTTTAATATAAGGGCTGTTTTTAGTAATTAAAAGAGAGAATATATAATTATTTCTTCTCTGAAGAAAGCTTAACCAAATTCCACATGAATCTGAACTTCTAACAGGTTTTAGAATTGCTTGCAAGCAAAAGGTAAACCATTTTTTTATACTGATTTAGTAAACAAGCTACAGGTGCTTAATCAGGTCTGATGTTTTATTATAGCTTCACATAGCTTTGAAATGTGGCTCTTAACATTGCAAGAAAACATTGTCAATATTATCGTAAGGAAGAATACCTTTCGTAATGTAAATTGGCTCTTTGTTATTAGCCAGCGAACTTCCAAAGCATCTGCTTGCTTAAATTTTCAAAAATTGCTAGAGGAAATTAATACATGTAAGTACATTCATAGACTCCTTAAGCTTATGAGATGCTGCTGGATGCCACAGACCACTCATCAGTTTTCTGTGTTACTCCTGTTGCTGGCTATGCCAGCCTTTTGGCATTCCCTTCCGGTTGACAGCGCTTCAGAATAAAATAGCCATAATTAACTTGTTCAAAAGTTATTAGTGTGAGAAAGGAAAGTGTAGAGAAGGCAGGTAGAGGGAGAAAATTCAAGTCTATAGAATATGGTCAGAAGCACAGGAATAGTGGTAACAATTTTTAGAAGAATTTAGAATGTTACATGGTGTGCTTTTTTCAAATATGTAGTAAACATAGCTGTTTCACAATGTTCTTTTATTTTAGTTAATAGAAGCACATATTTGTACTTGCAGTTGCAATTCTGCATTCCTCTTTGTCCTCGGTTTAAAAAAAAAAAAAGGCAAGAAAAGAGCAAGATGAGCAAGAATCTAAATAGAAAGAGAGGAAAAAGTACTTCTAAAAAGACACGGGATTTAGCTGTAACTTATCTGAAGCATTAGTAACCAGGGAAAATAATTGTTTACTATTATATGTATCTTTTACTTCTAGTAATTTTGTAGGGTTATGTCAGTCGTCTCACATTTGACGAAGTGAGTTGCTGGAGATGGGAATATTCTCTATACTTGGTAATTGTGAATTAATTTTAAACTAAAAAAGGATTTATTTTTTTTTTTTCAAGATGGAACACATCTAGAGCAAATACTAACTGAAGATGATCAGCTGTAGTATTTGAAGCAATTGGGAAGCATTGATCCTTCAGATAATGGAGATGATTGTTTCATCTCAGCTTTTCAAATTCAACCTGTTTTGAATGCTGTGTATGTGACTTTTCAAGTAGCAAAGTGTAGTACATTTAGACTGGAGAGGCACAGTGGTGGGGGTGTTTTGGAAACTAAGTTTGATAGAATAGGTATGCTTTTCTGTACAGGAGGGTCTCAAAGTTTTCATAATGGAAGAGTGATGGTGGCATAGTGACTGAATCAAGAAAGCTTGTGATCAGAGAGGGATGGTCATCTAGTAACTTCTGTGTATGTGGGTCTCCATGTAATCTTGGGCTTTAAATGTCTTAGATCTCATCCTGCTTTCTTCTAGCTTGTTGTTACTGTGCTTTCTTTTTGGATGCTGGAAGAAATATGTTGCATTTAATCTTCCCTCAGGACTAACTACATTGTCTCTTCACTTTACCTGGCTTAAGAAATAGATTATAATGATTATGTTATTTTAAGCATTTGAATAAAAAAGCTAAATATTGGTAGATAAAGGGACTTTCAAAACTGGAATATACCTGGCCTTATGGCCTCTTCAGTTTATTGTTAAAGAAATTATATATTCTTTTTGTGGCGGAGATTTTAATAGGGCTTAAAGATAGTAAATAAATGTAGGTTAGTTCTCTGAAGCTTAAATACAGCTGTCCTGTTAAGGCTTAAATATAAATACATACATGCAAACTAGAGAGTGACCAAAGACTGATTAAATGCAGTTCTAACAGTGGAATTAGCAAAGCACTGATATTCTAACATAGATCGAATGAGGCCTGCAGGAGGCCTATAATGATGTAGGAGCAGGCATACTTTGAGTTTGAATGGTATATGGTCAAAGTAATGATAAATGTATTGCTTATTATGTGTAGACTAAAACCATGCTAGCGTTTGCTATTGCCATAACAACGATATATTCACATCTTAGTTCTCTTTATGTTCAGACTATTTGTCCTCTCCAGAACTATAACTTATAAAAAGAAACCCAAAACATCAAACCAAATTTAAGATTCTTAAGTGTTGATTCATGTTGCCTTTCCTGCTTCTCTAAATGATACATTTTTTCAGCATAGACTCAGAAGTTGCAGTTGTGCTTCTGTGATAATACTGCAAGTTGATTTTTCTCAGATGTAAAAGTATAAGTCCTTTTATTTTTTTTCATCTTTTACTTAACTAAAATACTTCAAAGTGTAGTAAAATATAACAAGGAGTATAATTTTATAGCATCTTTTATTTTAAATTGCTGACAAGATAAAATATGTTGGTGGGGGGGGAACTTAGTTAAATATTACTAAAAGTGATTTCATTGTATGTTACAAAGATTCGAGAAAGCCACTGTGGATTTGCATTTTTAATGGGCTTTCTTGAAAGAATGAGTTGAGATTATAGATGCTAATAGAAGTGTCCCCTTGTGGTTTACTTTTTTTTATTACCTCTGTATCTATATGCATGTAGTAAACTATGAATCCAGTAGCTCATTTCCTTCTTTGGTCTTTGCTTGAGCAAATTGTGTATACTAATAAAAAACTGTGGACATGTGCTTTTAAATATCTATGTGTGTTCTGGTTATCCACCATTTACTGATATTTATGCTCATGTTTACCTTTCTATTCTTCTTTTTTATGAAAGAATTAGTATGTGCCACATCATCCTAACTTTGCCTGTTGTTTTTTTTTCCTGTTTTGTTTTGGTTTTTTTCTTTTTATGCCTTGCATAAATTGTGTCTTGCAATGGTTTTGTTTCCATTGATTTGAATTTTTCTTTTGTATCGTGGTTTTATTTGTAATTTCCTTTTCATAACCCTATTGGAATTCACCTACACTAAGGATTTTTCTTGGCATATCTATATTGGGGTAGCTGCATTCAGAGTTGGAGACTACTGTTCAATATCTTTTTAAAAAGGGTAGCTTTTCGACTGTTATTTTCTTAAGAAACTGTGTTTTTAAAAAGTATGGAAAAATATCCATACTCACAGATGGTAGCAAGTATCCATATGTGCTTCTATTTGACTGAACCATAACAGGAAGTTTCCATATTCTCCTCCCTCCTCCCGCCCCTGCACACTACTTGTTGCGTTTAGTGGCTTAATTTCCCTAAGAGAGAAACCTTTTTAAGATGTAAGTAGCATTTTTACTTGTTCAGACTGCATTGGGTTTTGCCAGCCATCTGTGAAGATAAGGGAATAGACTTGGCACGTGTTGCAATCTTAGCTGAAAAATGTAATTTTCCCATAATTTCCAATACAATTTTTTCCCCTCATCTGCAGAATAAATGCTCTTATTAAAATTTAAGAAGGTAGTGACTCATCAGATTAAGCAACTAAAGAACATTTTCCCTTAGATAGTAAATGGACTTTTTTCCTCTCTTGATATCTGAAGTGCAGCACTAGTACTATCCTAGAGGGAAGAAAAATAAAATGAATGCCAAAAATGTTGATAGAGAAATTTTTAAGGGCTGGAATTTCACAGATACTGAGCGAACAGTTATTTCAATGCAGTCGATGATGCTCATCCCTGATGATAAACATGTTACAAATATGGAATGTATGTGTTGATTTTTTAATTGCATTGTATCTGAGTAAAAATTTGTTCACTTACTTGCCCCCAGAAACCATTGTGTTTATAGAGACTTAGTTTTATTGAACCCTAACAAATAACTTGTGCTTCTGCAGAATTATTAGAATGCTGCACCCCAGCAACATCTCTCTGCATGTAATTTCCCCTCTTACTACTCTGTTTTCTAATGAGATTTGTGTGGAAGTGGCTTTGAATAGCCTATATTGTCTCACATTGGTTTTACTGATGGTTTTGGGGGAAGTTATAAACAAATCTAGGCTTTTGCTGGTTTTGTCTCAATCATGTTATTTTATGCATTTGAATAAGATACGTGTAAATTTTTCAGTTGTTTGACAATATCATCATTTGAAAGACGAAGTTTAAATTAGTTCCTAAAAAAAGCAGTTGTTCCTTTTTAGGTATAAATTCATTTTTTTGCAACCAATTTGCTTTGACGTGTCTGTTACTAATACCATAAATACGGTGGTCTCAAAGTCTATTACTTTTTCACCCTTAGAAGCTTGAGTTTTGTTATGTAAATCTGGAATATAATAGTTACTTTCCTGGAAGTACCTTCGTTGTAAAGCACACATTCTTTTCCCAAGTAACACCCTGCTTTGGATCTGTTGCTTGTAGCTTCATTTTAGATTTCAGGAGAGTGAAAAACAAGATGGTATCTAGTAAATATGTATCACGTTACAGAAATTGTGCTTGGTTTTGAAAATTGACCATAACTGAGGACTGCAACAGTTTGCATGTACAAGAATGTACATACAGAAGTAAATTGCATTTATAGTTTCAGCTCTGTTCCATGTTCATGAATGGCTTGGAAGCCTAACTGCACTGGTTGAGTTTAAATATGTTATAAGCAGGTCCTATTAAAGATTTCCTGATTGCCTGTCTTGCTTTTCCAGTGCATTTCAATTCTGTTTTAAACCACGTGGATGTTCATAGTGCTATACAGCACAACACATAAATGAAAAGCAAAAGTAACATTACATAACTGGTATCTTTAAAGATGCATCATGATACTTTTATCTGCATGGCATTGTATTTCTACCTGTGGTGCTGTTTTTCCCCTCTTCTTTTCCTGCCCTGGTGTTCATTGCTGTTGGTGCTTGTATCTTGGTTTAGGTTGTAAGTCTCAGGCAGATTAAGTGCCTTTTGGTTTATTTCATGTGGTTGTGGGTATGTTTCTGAGAGCTAAAAATGCAAATAATCATTCCAGTAGTGATTTGGGGTATAGGGAGGGCAGGAGGATCCCTTGAAGCAGAACTGCTTGAAGAATTGCAATGCTGATTTCCACAATTTGATTTTCTATATGTTGAGCAGACAGAATTATTTTTAGCTCTTTAATTTTAGTATGTTCCTACGGCAGATGTTTGGGTGCTTGGATTGTCACTACTGCTTGACCATCGGTATGTTCGAGAAGTGTAGAAGGAGTGAATGTCGAGTAACAGAGATCTGTGTATTATAGTATGAAACACTTCTGTCTTGTTGCTCAGACAGCATGATTATTGGAATTTTATCAGGATAATCTTTTAGCTTAAGACTCATCTTTTTTTGGTTTTTTATTTTTAATTTTTATTTAATGGATGGAAAGGCCTGGTAGGTTGCTCTGAAATTCTAATAGACTTTATGATTTTTATAGTCTCCTAGCAACTTAATTTGTACATGATAGAGCTTTTGCTCACCAGCTGTCCAAGTGCAAAATGCAAAACATAATAGAATATTTCTGCGTCTCATTTTAATAACGTCTCATTGTAAACAACAATCTCTCTAATAGATTTCACCTTGTTGACTGAGCTAGTGTCTGCTGTGTTGCAAGAACAAATACTTTCTAGGATTAAAGTGCTTAGTTCTTTGCTGAATATTTGTTTAGTATTGTTCCTTTTGTGTAAAAAATGAGATAGATGTGACATGCAAACAGATATGAAACCATTTTGTATGAAGTCACAATAAAAATGTTAGCCATTTCTATTGCCATTTGCAATGAGAGATGAAATAATGTATCTCTTAGAGATGAATATTCTTATTCCGGTTTGGATATTGTGTAACTTTTACAGAGGAGCAGGGGTTGTTTTGTGTACGTGTGTGCGTGTTCATGCTAATCATGTGGTTCTTTCAAAGGTAGGGAGTAAAAATTTCTCCCTTCCTCATCCCAGAGGAAATCTGCATCCCTGAAATGTGAGATTTGATTGCTCCTCTTTAGTGTGTATGATTTAAAATATTGTCTCAAAATGACACAGTCTGTAGCGCAAGTTCCGCTTCAATTTTTGAATCTACTGCTAGCGAATGTGTCTTTACAGTCCCATGTGACTCTGAGATGTACTTGTCGTTTATTTAAATGCATCTAATGCTAGCTATTTACCCCACTGTTCTCCTGCTACTTGAACTGCAATGCACAGATTAAATTATTAATAATTTGAAAATCTTCATAATAGGGGAATCTAAAACTAAACACAGCAGAATCCTATTTTCTTCAACCTTCTTGGATCATTTAGTCATTTATGTGTAAACATTAGATTAAAAAGGAGGGATGAGGACATAGGCATTTACAATATTAATAGTCCACATATTTAAACTTTTCAACGTATTGCAAAATTCATCCCAAGAGTATTCTCCAGTAGCATATTTGTAAAGTAAAATACTATAGTTTGAGGCACATCCATATGCCTGTTTTGATTTACGCTCCACTTTGCCATGCACATTAGAAATACACAACAGAATGTTCCTGGCCTGAAGATATTGTGATTAAAAAAAGAACACTTACATTCTATATATTTTTATGTTTTAATGTGCATTTTAGCCTTCTGCACAAGATTTGACAAAGTTCGTTACTGTGCTATTCAGCATCTAGGGATTGTTAAATATATGTTGGAGATAATTGTGCTACTTCTTTTGACCATTACAGAATTCTTATAAACATCTACTTACTCTTAAAGCTAGCTACTTACTTCCATTGAATACTCTTTTGTGTTGTAGGTTGTTAAAAAGAATTAAAGGAGTTTTCTTGATACCTGTTATGAAGACTACTGAAAAAATACTGATAGTTTTGTAATTTTCTTTATTCTCGATTTCCTCTTATTTAGGTGTATTGTTTAGTTCAAGGAGTGTTTGGACGATGCTCTTAGTCATATGGTTTAGTTTTAGGTAGTCCTGCAAGAAGCGGGGAGTTGAACTTAATGATCCTTACGGGTCCCTTCCAACTTGAGATATTCTATGATTCTGTGACTTAGGTTTCTAATTGAGTATAATTCTGTGATATTGACTGTAAAATACATTAATCTTCCTGCTTTTCTTCCCTTCTCCTCAAAAAAAACAAACCAAACCAAACCAAAAAAAAAGGGGAGAAACAGGTATCAATCTGAAATGAGAATATGAGAATGATATGAAATGAAGAAACTCTCTTACTATCAGACGATGAATGGGAGAGTGAAACTGCAATAACATAATCTAAAACACTAGGTCTGGAATAAAATTTCTGTAGTCAGTATTTTCACATATCAAAGTGTTGATATAGGTGGTATGAAAAATCTTGTAGTCACTTCATTAATTTTGTAGAAGATTTCAAGGACTGCTTTCTGTGTTTTTTGTGGAACAAGGACAAAGTCTAAAAAATAGAAATTGCATGCAACAATAATTGTGTGTAACTCTAGGTTGTAACCCTTCAGAAAAACAGTAAAATTAAATGATGCCGATAACCTGATTTCATGGTCAACCCTAGAGTGTAGTTCAGTATATGTATATTTGCTATTCAAATGTACCGTGTAATTGTCCAGGGACCATTTCCAGAAAGAAATGCATTTTAGTGATGGAATAGAAATAGTGCTCTGAATCATTTCTCACAGTCTTTTCTCAGTCACATTCATGACAAAGTGCTTCGTCTCTTTGTTTTCAGAGTTGCAATAGTTTCCAAGTCTTTTGAAGGAAAAACTGATCGAACAGAAGACTGGTATGGAACACAGTACAAGCAAGAAGCAATTTCTGATGAAGTTATTAAGGCAGGTTAAAACTTTTAATATATTCTAATATCTGCAAGTGAAAGACAGTGGTAAATTCTTTGTCTAATTTTCCATTTAGTTGAAGGGAGGACAAATCTGTTGCTCTACATAGCATGGAAATTGTACAATGAGTCTGTTAATATTAAGAGAAGTAAGGATCTTGTGTTAGTCTTCAGATTTCAAATATTTATTACATGGACAGATACATTTTAATGGTTTTAAACCGTGTTAAGTACATGGAATGTTATACCATTTTTGCTATAAAAGATCCATAATATGCAGTGGCTATTTAAAAATGTAAGCATTAACTTTTTAAAACTTAGTCTCTATTAAATGTTAATGAACTAATCTGTTCTTAAGAAAGGAATCTTCTTACAACTGCTATATGTAACTATTTCTGAAACTGATTTTTGCAACTTAGAAAATGAGTATATTTTGCCAATTAAATGAGCTTCTAAAAATCAAAACTCCAACAAAGGCGGTGGGCAAATCCGTATTGAAACTTGTTACTGATCTATTCTTTTAAGAAGAGATGACTGTAAAATACAAGCTGGAGCTAAATTGGACCTGCCGAGCATGCTTTGAACAGACATTGCATAGGAACACTTCACTTACTTTAAATGTCCGTACCTATGTTCTTGATTAGAATTCTTGCTTATGTAGTTAGTTTAATATCTTCATTTAGAGTTCACAGTAGCAGAAAAGATGAGACATAGAACCACCTTGTACTCCACTGTAAACTTTTGAAAATTATTTTTTATCTTTTGTCTTCCTCCTTGGACCACTTCATCCTGTTGATAGCCTACTCCAATTTGGTTTCTCCTGTTATCTTAGTAGTATTTACATATAAGCTAGTGGAACACATTTTAAAATCTTTTGTAACAGCATAAAATAAATAAGTATGTATCCATTAATTAAGCAGAAATTCTACTTAGCCTCATTATTTCTGCTATTTATCTAGAAATGGCAAAATGCTGACCTGAATGGGAAATTCAAGCTTCCAATGAAGAATGAGTTCATTCCTACTAACTTTGAGATTTTGCCATTGGAAAAAGATGCGACACAGTACCCTGCCCTTGTCAAGGTAAGCTATCTGTATTTGTTCTGTTTGCTAGCTAACCTTCTGGGAAGTTAGCGGTTAATTCCTGTGTGTTTTTAAAATACAGATCATGTCATATTCTGAGGTATAATAAACAAAAAAGTACAAAACTTAAAGATACTGCTAGAAAGACAGTAGAAAGTTCATTCTTGCTAAACTTTGGATTATGACTATTTGGCTTCCTATGAAAATGAATCTACAAACAGCTTGAACTCTCTTTGCCCTTTTGAAAGTGTGTTAACAGTTGATAGAAATAGTATTAAAGCTGTTTATTCAGCAGAAGGGTGACTGCCACTCTTGTGGTTTTTTTGAGTAGCGTTCAGTAAGTTGGGGGTGTAGACAGGCTATTCTTTTGTAACTGTGAATGGAAGAAGCTTGTGATTGCATGGAGAAAGGGAGAGAGAGATGTAAACGTGTAAATAAACATCACTCTCCAGTCTCCTGGAAGCATCATTTAATGATCCCAACATGTTTAGCAAATCTCAGTTTTTCTGAGTATTTAAAATATGCTAAAGCGTAATTGTCTTTGCTAACGCTCATCTCTGTTCGAGGTTTAGTTGGGGGATAAATAGGAAAAGTCTTCTGCAATTACATGTTGTGCTTCAGCTTGAATACTCAATTCAGGAATACTTTTTGTACGCTAGATTAGTATGTCTACTTCAGTGCAAAGACATCCTTCAGGAAAACATACTTGTTCTGCACAGGGCATTTTAGGTATATACTTGAAGCAGTATTACTAACAGAGGAGGACTTTGAGCCTATGTTTATGTTCATCCTGAATGGAAACCCTAAACCTCGGCAGGGACACATACTACAGCTCTATTAAGTAACACTAATTGGTTTGCTACAGAAACTTGATGGTCCTTCGGTGTCTCTGTAGCAACTAGGCAATTGATCCACACAAAAGCTTTGCTTTAAGGCATCATTGCTGTAGAAATGTATTTGCCTTTAGTTTTTGCTTTCCCTTTAAAATACGTTTTCTGAGGGAAAATGTTTTTAATCATCTGTACTTGATGAAATAGACATTATCTATTTCGCCTGCATCTCTTCTACTTTCTCCCCACCTGTATGTCTGTGCCATTTTCCTTTTGTGGGCCCTGGCATTTGTCTGACCCCACAGCAAAACATTGCAAGAAGTAGATCAGCAGAGATTAGCTGTCCAAAAAAAGCAATTTTTCTGCTGTTTTGTATGCCTAAGTGAGCTTACTATGGACTGGACCAGTGTTGTGGAGAAAGGGAGGGACAGGAACATAAGTGCAGGAACAGGATGGCCATTTTCACTGGCAGCATGTCACTAGGTCACCTCTGTTGTAAAGGCACATCTTGTCCTGAAAAACCCTCAGGAAAGAGGGCAGTTAAGATACGGGCTTTGGCCTGAGGGTCAGGTTGTTACTATGGACTGCAGCTAGCGATCTCCAGCTATTGGATCAGGTCTCCAGTACTACAGACAGGCTCTACTGTTTATCATTCTGTCCCTGATGTAAGATGTATTCTGAATTGCGTAGTAGCAATTTAACAGAATAAATATTCTGTTGTCTCAGAGAGAAGCTGTAATTTGGCTTTTTAGTATGAGTCAAATACTGTGTAGAGGAAGGTGTGCTGTAAGAGATGAGACTTACTTCTTTTATGCAAAAAGGAGGAGGAAAATACCATGCCAAATCCCTGAGAAGCAAAGAACATCTGCTCAAAAATATGAGAAAGAGAAGTAATTTTACATTTAAAAGTTCTCTCTTATTATGTATAGCAATTTAAAGAAAAGGTGTTGGGGGGATAAAGTTAACTAGAATTGGAACAGAGAGAGAGTATCTATTTCACAGCTTTTGTGGGAGAAGAAGCAATAGGGGAGGTTGTTTAGATTCTTCCCTGTACTAGGAGATTATTCTAAAAAATTCTGGTGACAGATCTTTTAGCTAATTTCAAACTAGTTTCATTACTTTTTCTAAATGCGTATGTGTTTTTTATTACCAATGTTACTTTAAAACAACATACAATGCATTAATATTTTTTACTAAAAGCATTAAATACACAATTATATTCTTAGTCTACAACATGTAACCATATGCTGCTGTAATGCTCCATAATGGCACATCTTTTAATGCCAGCATTAGCAGGGAATTTTGTGACACTAACTCTATATTTGTCTTTGATCACTCCTGCTCTAGAAAAGTAGTTCCCATTTTGATCATAAACTTGTTCACAATGCTGCAGCCATTTAACTGCTTGTTAAGGTGACGTATGGTAGGTAAGAAGAGAGTCTCAGTAAGGATAGATAGATGTATACACAAATGTATATAGCAAGAATATGAATTTAAGGGGACAACACTAAACTGAGATTTGAAGTGGTGAAGAGATTTTTTAAAAATAGCGTAATATATTGCAGTTAAAATTTAGGTGACTTAACCTCTTTTCTTGACACAGGACACTGCTATGAGCAAACTATGGTTCAAGCAAGATGACAAATTTTTTTTGCCAAAAGCTTGTCTCAACTTTGAATTTTTCAGGTATGCAATGTTAAGTATATCACATAAATTGCTCTCCAAAACTTTCTTGTTTGTTGGGAATCTGCACTTCTGTGGCAAAAACTTTCTTGCATGTAATGAGGCTTTAAAACGTTTGTCCTTACTTGGGAATATGCAATAAAATACAGGTAGCAGGAAGGCTCATATAAGTTATGCAGTAGTTGAGTTAACAAGCGGTTTGAGGTGCTCCATCTATATTAACAGGAAAAATTTATCTAAAAATACTTTTAAAACAAATTTTCTTCTATGTTTTATATGCTACACCTGAAATATGCCTGCCTATAGGACCTACTACATACTGCAATATACCACTTTAAAAATGGGTGTGTATTGGTTTTAATTAATGACTAAATCGCAACTATTCTAAGATAGATTTCTTTATATAATGCTATTCTGATAATGGTTTTAGGTTCAAATTCTGTTTTAATTTGCATAATGCAAGGCAGTATAAAATTCTAAGTGCTTAAAATTGTGGGATTTTATTTAACTGACACCACCAACTGATTTTTTAATTTTTTTTTTTTTAGAAGAAAAGCGTCTGTATTATCAATGAATGTGTGATTCTCACCTCAAGATGCGTGATAGTGCTGTAATGTTAATTCTGGTCTTGCATTATTTTTGTCACAGGAAAATTACCTTTTTTTTTTAAGTGAGCATGACAATGATGTACCTTCTTAGTGTTCCTTTCAAGTAATAATTTCTAACTTTTGAATTAAAAAAATACTGCTGTCTTTAGAGTGCAGCTATTTCCGTGCTGGACTACTGAAAGTGAAAATAATTTCAGGAACTCCCCTCCTTTGGCCTAATTAAATGATTCAGTGATATTGCTGGAAAGGCTATTATGTGGGCTCTGATAGATACTCATAGATGCACTGTTGAGTCCTTGTTTTGAGTAACCACTTGAAATTTTTCTTGGCAGAATTTTAGATAGAGGGTTTTTTCAGAGAGTGTCTTGGTACTGGTGTTCGTACTAGTTGGGGAAAATAGGTTACCTGGGCATTTCCTCTTTCTTTTTGCATTTTGAAACCACAGGGCAAACATTCAACTGTTCCAACTTCGACATATCAGGAAATGGAAGATCAAAATGGTAACTGCCCATCTCTTATTCAGAGAACAACTGCAATACTTTGCCTTCTTGTTCATACCTGGTGGCTTTCCCTTGTACTATGTTTGGCCAAAATCCAAAATAGAATTTTATCAATGGACACTGAGTTTATGTTACACAGTTGCGGGCTTTTTTAAAATCAATTCCAAATGAACTATGAGTGATCCAATCGCTATACCAGTTTGTGAACGATTAAAAGATAATAATTGATTTTATGTAGAGCACACAAACGTGTAAGTATGCGCACATACGCACAATATCATAGAATCATAGAATGGTTTGGGTTGGAAGAGACCTTTAAAGGTCATCTAGTCCAACCCTCCTGCAATGAGCAGGGACATCTTCAACTAGATATGTGGTGATAGTCTTTCCCACTTAGATTTGTACTTTCATCTCAGTAAGTCCTTTTAAAAAGCCAGGAGTACTTGAGCTTTGCTGACTAATGTAATGGAATGATTTGTCTCTTTCATGCTAGGAATGGTTACAGGAGGAAAGCTGGCTTTTTTCTTGGGGTTGGGGGCGAGGATTCTTTCCTTTTCTTTAAAAATAAGATGGTAATTGTATATGAATGGATGCAAGGAGATTTTGACAATATTGGGTACATCATCTCCAAAAGAAGTTGTGAGCAGGTTTGTCTGGTTTTGATACTTAAGAAAAATTCTTAGTGAATCTCTCTCTCTTTTGAGGGTGGTCATGCTGATGATCGTTGGAGGAAATGGTGAAATGTATAGTGTTTATTCATGAGACTTGATGAAATTACCCATATCTCTTGTGGCCAAGTGAATTGGTGAATAAAGCCATCTTAATAAGTGGGTTTTCATAAAAAGGTTTAGCCTCAATTCTAGATCAGAATATGGCTATGCTGCCATGTAGCAGATTACAAGAATTTGTTCACACTACAGACTGCTTCAGTAAGATAGAAAAAACTAGGAGGATTTCTTCTGCCTGCAGCCCTGATCATCACAAATCATTGGAAGAATTCCTGACCCAGATGTTATAGCAGCAACTGTTGTGTTGATGAATTAAGAGGAGGTTGATGAGGGTGGTTTCTCCTCAAACATACAAATCTAGTAGGAACAATCTGAGTATATGAACCTCTTGAAGCCTTGTTCCAAAACTGAAAATCCTTACATGGCACCAGTCTTGCATTAAAGAAACACCACGGTAAAAATCTCTTGACACGGGACTTATCATCCGGTTTAAAGGATGATGATAAGCTTTTGCTTTTTTATGAATTATGACGTAAGAGCTCAACAAGTATCCTTTTTTAAAAGGAAGCAAAATAACAGTGCAATGTGCTGTTGTCTTGAAAACTTTCTAAAGGTGGTTATAAACTCTGCACTTCAAGTTTCCCAACGTTTAGAGAGACGGAGGTTAAAAATACAATGCTAATTATTTTTTAACTGGATGCTTGCTACCTTCCAGTTTAAGAAATATTTCAAGCAACTGGAGTAGCTCATAAGGTAACCCAGGATCAACACTTCAGTGTTGATTCCAGCTATGTCACTTACAGCTCCGTTTGAAAGGGGAAAAGACTTCAACATTTTTCAAATACACTATCAGTGATTGAGTTGTTCTGCTTCCTCAAGTCTAGTCAAAAAAAGGTAAACTAGAAATAAGCATTTATTTACAAAGTTGTCAGTAATAGAAGGCAATTCCCAGAACAGTGTTACAATAATTGTTTTCTGTTATTTTTCACTTGAGGATTAATGATTTAGTAGTCATCTTTATTTTCAAAACTCCCTGTTGGCCTTTGCCAGCTAACTGAGTATACAGAAGTTGTAACTGATGTGGACAAAGTAGTCACTCAAACTGCTTAAGTCTCTATTCTAGTATCAAAATGGAAAAGAATATAATGAGTTTGGAGGAAGGTTTATGATAACATAGGATTGACCTACATCTTGGTTTGAATTCAGTCTTAATTAAAAAATTCAATATTAATTGGATTTGCATCATTTGGCATATTGAAATTGGCTCAGTTTTGGGAAATTCTCATTGTAGAGAGAAATGCAAATAGCAGAGTCTTTTTTTTTTTTTTTTTTTGCCCTCCCCCCCACGCCCCAACTGACGTGTTTGCTTAAGTTACACAATCCCAAGCCCAGAATAATTAACCCAGTGGTAATAAAAAAGCGTATCCTAGGCTAAGATTTCAGACTATAGTAGGCTCTGCTTCTCTAATAGAATTTTTTTTTTTTTTCTTTTTCCTTTCTCTTCTCATGCTTCCTTTCCTTAATTTAAAAGGAAGGAGAAGTCAAGGCCATACTAAAAACTACTAGGAACCTTCTTAAAAATACCTTTGCAATTAATTATAAAGTTATCAGCATGTGTGTTGTGGCAATGTGATCTTTGTTTTACTACGTTATTGTTGGTATACACTGTGAAATACCATGCTATATAGGCGTAAACATATATAATAGCATATGACCATTAGTAACTGCTTAGGGAAAACAAATGCAAATGGTGTGGTTTTGAATTATAAGCCATATCCTGACAGCAAATTGTTTTAGATACTGCTGATTATTTCTGTGAAATTGATAATGCATTTACATGTGCTTCAGAAGCTTTAGAAATAAATATTCAATCATAGTACAAATAACTTGTCTTGACTTTGCAAATCTTTAAAACACAGATATTTAACAGCTAGCGCAGCTGAAACATGGCTTGAGTCTTTGAGTTGCGTTTCTCTTTTTGAGAAATTTGCGACAGTATTATATGTGATCAGATGCTTCAAATACAACAGTAGAGCTTGTATAGTTGTTGCCATTAAAAAGATAACACAAAAAATTACAGTGGTATGATAATAGATATGCCAAACTTCTTTCCTGAGCTGAATTTACCATGTACTGCATATTTTTCATACCGCAAATTGCTAATCTCTTAATTTTTGTTATAGAAACGACTTCATTTTCTGATAGTGTAGAAGTATTAATTAAATTAATGTTCAGTACGTGGGCTTTCATTTCAGTCTATTAAATTATGTTGGTTATTCAGGGTGTATTTAGTTTATTTTACTGCTGGTAAATTCTGACTGTGCAGGAAAGTAAATACAACTTGTCTTGATTTATGAGCAGAAATAAGAGATTATCTCTGGAATCTTCAATATATTTAAGCTCAAACCATAAGCAAGCTAAAAAATTATTTTCAGATATGTTCGTATTTGGCTTCAAAATAGAAACCCTTCATAACGGGATCCATCAGCATACTCGCAGTAAATATTGTTTCCTTCAGATCGAACTTAAAAGGCCAAAAGAAACTGAGAAATAATTTTAAACTGCATATTTTACTTTCAACATTTTCTTCCAGCCCATTTGCTTACGTGGATCCCTTGCATTGTAACATGGCCTATTTGTACCTTGAACTACTCAAAGACTCCCTCAACGAGTATGCATATGCAGCAGAACTAGCTGGCTTGAACTATGATCTCCAAAATACCATCTATGGGATGTATGTAAGTACCCAAATCAAGGAAAAGCTTAGAGCCTTAAAACTACTTCCACTCATCAACATTTTTATATTGATTTGCTGGAAGGACTTTTATTTTAAAAATGGGTCTAAGGCTGTTACTCCTTTTGATCTTGGTTATTAACCATCCTTTCTTTAATTTGAATTTTAAGTTGAATTTTGTTCAAAGTCTTCAACAATCTTTCCATTCATAGTAAGCAAATTTTCTTCTTTATTTTTATATCATTCATGAAATTAATTAGTTGTAAGATTTGTTCCTCCATTTAAAAAAAGGAAAAAAGCAACCCTAATCCAAGCTTACATATTTATTTCAGTTTGTCAGATATCTACTAAAAACTTTCTGACTGATGGGGTAGAAGACCCCTTTTAATGCTATTAAATAAATGGTACACTTCAGCTTTCCTGTTCAAGAACTACTGATCATGAGGCTGCATATACATACTCTTCAGTCATGTTTCTTCATCCATTACTTTGTCACTGCTTGAGGTATCAAAGCATTTCTTTTGTTTTTCTTTTTGTTAGTCGCTACATTTATGCTGATCCTCTCCATTGCAACATGACATACCTGTTTATCAGGTTATTGAAGGATGATTTAAAAGAGTATACATATGCAGCACGCCTCTCAGGTTTGATCTATGGCATTGCATCAGGAATGAATGCAATACTTGTAAGTAAGAAAAAAACGCAGGAAGAAATGAAACAGCTTGGGAGTTGTTGAGCTTGGAGAAAACATTTGACTTCTGCATTTCTAAATGAGATGGTTAATGTTTTTTTCCTTGCATATTTCTCATGAATTAAAGGCAAAGCAAAACTGTATTTTAATGAGTACTGAGTGACCTGTTTAAGATTGCAGTGTCTTGTGAACATGTGTGCAGTGCAATTGTTGCATTCTAGTTCACATTTTTACTTGCTTGCATGGTAATCTTGAAAGTACTATTGCTGGTTTCTATATAAAAAGATTAACTTTTCTGTTGAATGAATCTCAACTTTACAGATCTTGTTACAATTTTTTAATTCTGCTGTAGTGAGCTGTGGAAATGGATTGTGCATGTGTTCATTAGAAGGCAATGCTGGATATTTACGGCTTTTCCTTAGGGTTTGTTTTTATTACATGTTTTAAAATCTGTTTTAAAGTGCTGACAATACTTACTTGATAAATACTGATATTATGATAAACAGTTATTTCTTACTCAGCTTCTCCTATAAGATTTATGATAAGAGATTTTAATAGTCTCTCTTGAAGTTCTGTTTATTAACCATCATTTTATACCAAAATGTGTGTTGAAATTTCCTATAGAAGTATTATTTTCCAAAGCATCCTAGTAAGAGAATATACTGTATATTGTCTTTACATTTTCTGTATGAAAGAGAGTGCTGCAATTTCTTTTTTTATGCAATGCAAATCTCATTTCCTGGTAGCATTCACTTAACTTACTGCAAACATGGTTATCTATTCTCAAGCTTGCTGATGTTTCCACGGTCAGAGTTAATTCCTTTAAAAAAAAAAAAAAAAAAAGGTTGTGTGTGTAATTTTCTTCATTTTCAGTCACAGTTTAGAAGTTTAGAGTTATTTTAAATGTTTGGGTTTTGTAGGGCCTTTATATTCTACTGTAGAGATTCTGGTTTTGCATATTAAAATCAGTTTACTCCATTTTGATATCTGGGAGCTTCTGATATTCTTTTCTATATTGTGAGAAGTTTTATAGTCAATAGGTGTAACTGTACAATGTTTATACTTTAAGCAAGGACAGATGCTACACTGAAAACAATCACCATGGGTTCGTACACTAATTTAGGATATCAGCCTTTGTCGTAAATCCATTTATGATAGCTTTTGCTTCAAAATTCATGGTTCAGATATGTTTCAGCAACTATAGAAGAAAAAATTCTTTCTGCTGGAAAGTAGGAATTCACCTGACCTGTGTGTTGGTTTGTGTCCTAAAATTTAGTTTTACCCTTAATAATTAAACTGCACAAATCCAATTAAATTCCTGTTTCAAGATACCAAATTTTGAAGCTCCCCCCCCGCACCCCCCAAAGGCCTTCTAATGCCTTTTTTCACTAGACAAACTTTCTGTAGCTTGGTGCAATCACATAGTCGTTTTTAAGTTTCTATGTTGGTTTTTTAAATTACCAAGTTTATTTCATGTATACTTTCAAAAAGATGTGTATGATCAGGCCAATATCTCATTACGATTGTAGACGAACAACCTTGATGTTTCAGCCCAGCACCCTCCTGGTTATAAATTCTGCTGCTGTTGACAGTACCCCTTTTCTTGTAGTACTGCTTACTTCCACTTACGTAAAATATTTTTTTGAGCAACAAGATAAACATGAAACAAGGTTAAAAGTAAAATGGAGAGAATATTTAAAAAGGCTGTGAATCTGGATTTCATTACTAAAATGAGAAACCTAGAGTAAAACTATTTCAGTACTCCAAATGTATAGTTAACTGTACTCGATACTCATAATTAAAAATCTGTATTCTGAGTACCATTTGCTTACATCAATACGAAATCACATTAATTCTCTGCATTCATAACTCCTGGGCAAATATGCAATATTATATTTGTCAGTTAGGTATTTTCTGATGGTTAAAGGGATTTTATTTCAGAATGAGTTAATGTTGAATTTAGAGTAAGTGTTGAAAAGTGTATTGTTCATTGAAGTATACAAGACTTGGTAATTGTTTTATTCTTTTATCTTCCACATTTAAAGCAACTTATGCACTTTTTCCATAGCTTTCTGTAAAAGGTTATAATGACAAGCAACATATCTTGCTTAAGAAGATCATTGAGAAAATGGCTACTTTTGAGATTGATGAAAAACGATTTGAAATTATCAAGGAAGCGGTAAGCTACGTGAGAAATTTGCATGAGTAATTTAAAATTGAATGCATTGACTTGAAATGAAATCTTAGGGCTGATTATCCATGGAAATACAGAGTGAAATTCTGCCTCATTGGGACTGCAGAAGCTTTTTTCTTTTGTCTTTTTTGTGGCCATGAGTTTCCCGGAGCATTTATGTTACATTCTTTGGTTAAAAATAGCCGGCCCTGGAATCTTCTTTCAGTCGGTCTTTTTTAAGATTGATCAAGGGATTGCAACTCGCTTTGATAGGAGTAGAAATCTAAGAAGGGTGACGGGGGAGGAAATCTTAACTTTATATCCTGTTTTACAATTTGGAAAGGCCCCAGTGAGATCTAGCAATAAAAAAAGGGGAAAATGGATGAAGGGGGAAAGGAAGTGTTGAAAAGATTTGCAACATTTCTTCTCCCCAGATGTGAAGAGGAGCTCTGCTCCTGGGCCAAGATCCTTTGGTGCAAAAGTAACCAGCTGGTTAAGTATATGCTGACTTCTGGAAGTCTCACTTCCTAAATTTAATGACTGATCTATATATATGGAATGTAAGTCAGATTTTTTTTTTTTTTTTTAGCTCCTGAAGTAAGTTCATGAACGGTATTATATTTGCTAAGCCAAACAAGATACAGAATTGTTATTCTGGTGCTTTCTTTAGAGCAAGACAGAGGTAAAACAAAGGGAATGAACAAATCAGGTATTGGCACTCACAGCAATGACTTGTTGTGGAAGCGAGTGCACAAGGATTACACTGGTGTTGGGGCACAGGATGACTTCTGGCCCAGAAAGCTTGCAAATAGTCTGCAGTAGATGAGAGAGCTAGGGCTGCAGGGAAGATCACTCCATGCTTGCTCTGGTCTTTAATACTCTGCTGCTGGTAATTTTTGAACAGGTGACTGGCCTAGACAGACACCAGGGCCATCTTTAGTTCATTACTATTTAGTAGGAAATTCTAAGTAGGTCGACATAAAACATGAGGTAGATTTATTATAATAGCACTTTATTTAAGACTCTGTGTACTAAGATACATTGTCTGCAAAGTTTTAACTGGACAAATGTTAAAGTAAAAAAACCCAACCCACAGGTCTGTGAATGACCTGTTTTGGATTATTTTCTTTTAGTTTAAGTTGTTTCACTGATTGTCTTTACAGTTCACTTGAACTTTGTCTCTGTATTATGCATGTTTTGTCATTTTATAGACCTTTGTTACTTAGGCCTTTTGTGTATGTAAAATAAGAACAAAATACAAAAAAACCCAGACAGGTGGGGAGATTGCAGGTTTTCCCCTCATGTCTACACCTAACAGATCAGGGAGATACCAGCTTCTGGCTTCTGTTTGGAACAGATAGAAGGATGCAGCCTCAGCAACTTCATGCTTGCTGTTTCTCACTCATGTGCCCTGAAACGAGTTACTTTTCTCCTGTACTGGAAATTATCCCAGCTTGCCAAAACTATTAGTTTGCATTTTCCAGTTCCTTTGGTAGAGGAAAAAAGTTTTGCTTGTTTTGTAAAGGTGCAACTGGACTAGAAAGGCGTTTCTTTTGGAGAAGCTCACTGATTCTTCTCTCATACCTCCTTTATCCAGGCAAAGAATGCAAAGAATTTCCCAGATGCTCTTGTATTTTTCTAACCAAGTCAGCCCAGGGAAGCAACTGGGAGAAAAATACATTTTCTATTAGCGACATTCCCCCACTCCACCCCTGGACAGTTATCATAGAATGCGTATTTCCTGGGTAGAGCAACTTGATCTAAATACTTATTTAGGTCTAACTGCAATAATTTAATTTCCAGTCATTAATTTTATGGAGAAGTTTGATTTCATGCTCATTTCAACTATCGTAATGGTTACTGCTTAATCCATAGGCTCAGAAACCTACATTATTACTAAGTTAATTTAACACAATTTTTTAACAGGTCTAACAAGCAAAAGAATGTTCTTGACATCTGAAATGTATCTTTTTGATGGTACACAAAGTTGAGAGTACAAGCTTAATATTTTATGTTTAGAATTAGAGTTCTATAATTTGAATTTACTTTTTTTGTTTTAGTACATGAGATCGCTTAACAACTTCAGGGCTGAACAGCCTCACCAGCATGCAATGTATTATCTCAGACTCCTGATGACAGAAGTTGCTTGGACCAAAGATGAATTAAAAGAAGCTCTAGATGGTAATGTTCTGCCAGTTTTAAACTTTATTATTTTTATTTTTCCTTATGGAAAATGTCTTGTTACTAAACTAATGAAGGTACCTATTTTGAACTCTACCCATTATTCAAGTGAAGCCCCTGCAGTGCCAGACCTGAGCTGATGCTAGTGGATGTCGATGCCTCTGCACTTGTCCTCCAGTTTATAGAAAGTATAGTATTTCAGGTAAAAGGCCTCAAATGGCAAAACTTGCAGGTAAAAATTCAGGCAAAACTTGAACAGCTTTGTGGACATGAGCCTGGGTATGGTGAATCCAATGCTTAACCAACACTGCTAAAATCATTTGGCTCTAGTTGACATCTTGCAGACACATTGGAGTGTATCTGTGTTGTACTTCCTGATGTGCATACTATTTTGTTTTTTTCCATTATCAGGGAATCCTAACTCCTATTTCTGTAGATAATAAAGAACTGGAGATAATAAAGAAAAAAGATATAATTTCTGTAGATAATAACAATAATAAAAAATAAAGAACATTGTGGTTCTTAACAAAGAGCAGGCACCCCACTATATTTGGAGGAAGAAGAAATTCCAAATTAACAAATTTAATTGATTTTAATAATAGCTGAAGAACTCTTCCCTACCTGTATCTTACTGTGTTACAACAAAAGGCTGTTACTGGGACAGTTTGAAAAATATTTTCTAATATCTTCTTGGAATACACCGAGACATTCTTTTCAAGAAGAATATCTGGCTTTTGTATTTACTTGAGGGGGTGGATTCAGAATACATATCCGTAGTTGTCAAAGACTGATACATACTATACTGTTTGAAGTTGTGATGCTGAAAACTGCTTCATTAAGATAGACTCTATAGATGCCCTGAGCCAGCTGCACAGGGGTGTGTGTTTTTTCTACAGGATGGCTCCAGGATAGAAATATAAATGTATAGTTGTATAGTTTCTTGAATGATTGCAGGTATCTCTGAGATTAGCAGTGGTGCCAGTGCTGCCTGTAAAGTCGATGACAAAACTAACACTGATTTTCATGGCAGTGGGTTCAGCTATATGTAGGTCATTCTTTTTTTAATGACTACTGAATTTTGAAAAAATAAGAGATTTTCTGATCCATGTGTAAGTTGTCTTTATAAGATTAATGCTACTGTATTCAGCGTAAGAATAGCTAAAAAATGGAATGCTGGAAAGGAATGCTGTCTACTTAGCACTGCAGGATATCTGCTTGAAGTACAGGGAGTTTATGCGTAATTTTTTTTTTCCCCCTCTGTTCCTCTCTCACACTCAATGTGACCGTAATCTTTTACACTATTAGTAAGCAATTCTAGAGACAAAAATTAAGGTTAGGGTTATGCAACAACAAAAGGTTGATTTGGAATCAGGGAAAAATGTGGAAATGAATTTTTTACCGGCGGTCAGTTACCTCTTTTAAGAGAGGGAAAGACTGATAAGCACGGTATAGGATTTTCTAATACAAATACAAATCTGTTAATGTATGCATCCCCCACAGAATAACTGAGTGACCCCACAATCTTAATTGTATTTGTCTTTTCAAAACTTTTGCGAAATACACGAGTATTGTTAGTTTTTATTTTAGTTGAGAAAATGACAAAATGAGAAATTAATGGATTTGGTGATATAGTGTGGGTATTCTTGTAGTGTCAGGGAATTAAGAATGGAGTTGTTGACTTTGGGATGAACATCCCATCCATTCAACCATCCTTCCTTTCTTATTCCATTGATTCTATATGTTAAACTACACTTTGCATTATATATGAAAACCACTATGCAAAGACAGGCTAGCATGGAACGTGTGTGTATGTGTATTCTGGGATATATTGCAAAAATGCTTTTCTTGTGTATTTTTTGTTACAAAGATACTATCAAAACACCATATTTAAGTTGAGGTTCTTTTTTTAGTCTAGATGGTAAATGCACAGTGTGTCTCTCGAGCGTTATGAACTACATGGTGCTTGTTTAGTTAATAACCAAGGCTTTATCTTGGAAGACCACCTGAGTAATTGCAACTGTTTTCTCTGGAGAATGAATGTTTGTTCAGCATGATTGGAAAGAAGGCTTTTTTCTTTTTTTTTTTTTTTTCCTGTTTGGTATCTGGGTCAGACGGTATGTGAATTCTAAGTGAAACAAACTATATGATAAGTGCTGCTATTTAGACCTGGAAACTTTCCAATGTTGCATTTTTAAAGAGAGATTCACTTTTTCATGATGATGAGTTTCTCCTCCTCTAAGAAATGCACCATATCTAATGATGAGTTAGGTACTTCTTAATATAAAAATGCATGTAATTGATTTAACTGTCTAAATATCTGTTCTAGATGTCACTCTTCCCCGCCTCAAGGCCTTTATAGCTCAACTGTTGTCACGGTTACACATTGAAGCTCTTCTCCATGGCAATATAACAAAACAGGTTGGTGTGATACTTTCTTTAATAAAACAATTTTTATTTAAAAGCAGCATAAAAAATGGAAGACTAGTTTAATCTTCTCAGATCTTAAAGCAGTTTTGCCAAATGTGATTTCATAATTTGACTTTGTACATTTTATCTTTATGGGAATATCATAGTGTCATTTTTTCCACTTCAGATTTATTAGGCTAAGTGCTGCCCTTGTATTGCTCTTGGAAATTTAATAAAAAACAACTTCTCATCTAAGTATTTTAAAGTCTATGTTGTGTATCATTACTGTGATGTGATCAAGCTGCATAAGGAACAATGTGCTGCAAATCCTGCTTTTCTATTTAAAAGTTTCAGGCTAACTAGCAAAGATTTAAGAATCCAAGATCCTTCCAAATGAAGTACTTTGCACAAAGCTAAACAGGCATGGTGGGCCATAAAAAAAAAAAGTGTCAGCTCTCAGTTTCGTCTTTTTGGGAGTAAAAATCAGAAAATGTTTGTTCTGTCTTCCATTAAAATAGTAACGGTTTGTATTTGCCTAGGAAATCTAACCAAATATTTGAATATATGTACCAATACAAAATGTAGTACCTTTCTTGTACATTTTTGCATTCTTTTTTTCTAGGGCTGGTATAGCAGTATTTCTGTGTTATGCCAGCTCTGTGATACGTTACTAGCAAGAGATATTATAAACACTGCTAGTGACTGCTGAACGTATGGAGAAGAAAGTTAACTAGTAAGGAGGGGGAAAACAAAAAGCTGAAGGACCCAATAGCACTGGATGCACAAAGTTTTCTTTTTCAAGGTTGTCTCAAATTTTTTTTTTTTTAATTTTATAGAGTATTTTTCATGTGGAGAAACGTAAAAAAGTTTCACTTTTTTCCTTCCTTATTTCTTACGCATTTGTATATGAAAGTTCCATCTGAAATATAACTGAATGACCAGATTTTTTAGATTTCCATGATGATGCAGTCATAGCAGAGAAATGCATTCTTTAGTTGGCATAATGGGTGGCTATTGAAGAGTCCTGCAGCTAGAGAACTGGGAAGGATGTACTGTTAACGCCCGTAGCTGGGTAATGTTTAGAAATGATCCACAAACCTCCCTGAATAGATGTGGGTAGGAAAACTTCTCTGTCCTTCAGTGCCCATGATGTGATCATCACTGACAAAGCTCAGAAATTTTAACCTGGCTCTAAGAATTTTTTCCAACTAAAATTAAATCAAAATTTACATACTCTAGTGACACCTTTCAATACTGAAAAATTTTTCAGTGAATCTGTACTTTTTGAAGAATTAGACCTGTCTAGCTGCTTAAAATTCCCATTTCTTCTTGAATTAATTTCATTCTGATACTTGTTTTTTGGCTGTTCCTTTTATTTATTTGCTGCAAGTGGATGAATAGTAAACTAATCCTGTTCAGAACATCTGTCTGAACAGTTTTGTTGTAAATAGTTTGCTTTAATATGGTGACTTGATTGGAAGAATATATAGTATTTTTCTCTAACCTTTCAAACTGTGTTTTGTTAGACCTCAGTCTTTTTGTCTTCGATATTGGGTCGGGTTTTTGGGCGGTGTTGGAAAGGGGCACATGTTTATTAAGTTTTCAGACCTTTTGCATGTTTTTTATAAGATCACTTGTGTTGTGAGTTTGTGGCAGCGCAGACTAAGAGATTTTGGCTTTCAGACAAAACTGCTTTGTAGCAAGTTACTATAATTTCCAGTATGCAGGCTACAAGAACACATAACCCTTAATAGGTAAACCTTTTGAAGTTAAATCCTTGAATGAAACTAATGATTTTTAAGTTTTTTTCACTACTTACGATTTTTTATTATTATTATTTTAATCCATCAAATAAAAGAAAGTATCCGGGCAATAAGTCCTCATACTACCAGCACGCCAATGGAATGCATGTTTGAACTTAACCATGAATTTGTTTTCTTAAAATTCCACCTGATGAGGTGTCATTTGCTTTGCAAACATACATTGTAGGTATCTCATTTTCAAACTTTGAAAGATGAGTACATCAAAGTGGTGAAGGGAAAGGGAAAAAAAGCCCGTTGAACTTTAATTTCAACAGCGTTGGGGAGGAGTAGAAGTAGTTAAACATGTAAACAAGACAAATGTAAAAAAAAAACAACAACACCCCCCCACACACACTTCCTCTCATCTACTTAACTTCTACTGTATTTTTATTAAATTACAATATCCCTACTTTCTATTCTTGATTTTTTTTTTTTTCTTTTTTCTTTTCTCTCATGTCACCATCAATAATTGGAAAGTCTTACCCTGCTGTTAGGTACAGAATAACTAATGATCGTTAAAAATCCTCTTACGTTTTCTCTTCCAGGCTGCGTTAGGAATTATGCAGATGGTTGAGGACACTCTCATTGAGCACGCTCATACAAAGCCACTCCTTCCCAGTCAGCTAGTGAGATACAGAGAAGTGCAACTTCCTGACAGTAAGTTAAATGATTTATTTACAATTTTTTAACATACATTAAATTGACATTCTCTGTTTGCTATTGGTATTTTAAAATGAATATTTCTTTGTTGCTAGGAGTTTGTTTCAAAATCAGCCTTACTTCAAATTATTTTAAACTTTTAAATTTAAAAATATAATTAAGATGTGGTTTTGTTAATAAAATTATACACTAATATATCATCTTTCTCGTATACTTGAAAATGAACTTGATTTCATCTTTTATCTGTGTACGTAAATTGGACTTCTTGGGCGTTGGAACTAGATGACCTTTACGTTCTCTTCCAACCCAAACCACTCTATGATTCAAGCCTAATTCACTCGGTACGATTTATGGAAATAAAATCCCCGTCCCACTCTGCTACACATAGTATACACATTTGAATAAGCACCATTCTTTGAACACTTTTGAGTATTAATTGACCATTCAGTGAAGGATTGTCCTAAATGACTGTTGCTTTTTGAGAAAAATAAAAGCTCTTACACAAGTAACTTTGTTTTTTTCTAATATAAATTCTTTGGTCTCATAGTGTTTGTATATGATTTTACTTCTATTGTGCAAAAAAATCTTTTATATAAGAAATGAGCTTCAAGGAATTGCTGGGAGTTATACAGGAATTATGACATAGTAGCTATACGGCCAAAGCCAACTACCCATAGCTGATCACCAGCCTGTGGAAACTGCCATATACCAAAGAAGCTGTTGGTATTAAATGCTGAATTATTTTTAATGTTCATAAATGTTTCTGACAAATTGTCTTTAGAAACTATTTACAGTAGAGGCAATGCAGAATTTCACTCCAGTTCCAAAAATACTGGCTTGAGGAGAAGCAGCCAGTTTCAATTTACTTGCTGATATGCTCAAGCTATGGCATTTTGATGTGTTAAAATAATCTTTTCTTTACTTGCTTCATGAAAAGTATACTGTTAGTGGAAATTCTGCTTTAACAGTCCTAAACTGTTAAATTTATTACAATTCCATTCCACAAGTGATAGACCATTATCTTTTTAATTGTGGACCATAAGAATGTACATTTTTATGAACTTAAATGTTTTAACTTTGTCTTTTAGGAGGTTGGTTTGTATATCAACAGAGAAATGAAGTTCATAACAATTGTGGCATTGAAATATATTACCAGACAGACATGCAGAGCACTTCCGAGAATATGTTTTTGGAGCTCTTTTGTCAAATTATCTCGGAACCATGCTTCAATACTCTGCGCACCAAGGAACAATTAGGTAAGTTTTCCCATAGTGGTTATGTGTCTGTATACACGCATGTATACTCACTCATTTACATGAGACATGATGAGGTGTTCTTTCCCTGCTTGGTGAATGCCATTTAAAGGGCGCTTGGTGAATGTAAATAATTTTAACTGCTGATGACTCAAAGGAATGTTGCTGTGCACGTACTGTAAATTGAGAAGAAGCAAGTGTAATTTTTAAGATGTCTGAAATACCTGAAACCAACCCTGGCTTAAAAAAAAAGTTTGATCACTGTACAGAAAATTTCATATCTCAAATTTTTACCAAAAGGAGATGAGATCAGTTTCCTAAATTTTAGATCATCTTAAAGAATCAGTAGTTCAGTCTTTCCTACTTGTGATCCTACTTCCAGGTGCACTTGATGATTCACAAGCCCTAGCTTAGCAATACTGCTGTATGGGTCATGGTAAGCTGCCATGCTAAATACATTTCAGGCTTTTTAAGAATACAGCTGTTCACCAGTAAGTACAAATAGTTGTTACCTGAACCAGTAAGACTGAGAACTGGTCAGGTTATTCCTGACAGGATAACAAGGAGAGACAGAGACTTTGCCTGACAGTTTGCATGATAGAGATACTGATGATGAGGAGTACAGTTTTTGCAAAGGTGAGAGGCAGGGAAATGTCTCAGTGTGATGACTAGGAACTACCAGGGAGATCAGGCAAGGTTAGACTTTTTGTGAGCAACTAGCAGAATCAGCCATACCACATTGATCGTAGGGATTTTAACTATCTAGGTATCTGTTGAAAATAGGGCAGGACGCAGGTTATTTAGCAGGTTTTTGGAATCTGCTGGTGGCAGGTTTCGTATAGAAGTTGGAGGTAACAGCTAAAGAAGAGGGGGGGAACCAGTGAGGAAGAGCTGTGTGAGCGTGTCCAGCACTTGCATAACTGCCAAATGATACGGGTTCACAAGATTTAGGAGGGAAGACAGTAGAAATACCAGCAAAATTCAATAAACTTCATGGAATTGTTAATAAGATCTCTGAGAAAGCTAAGGGGAGAAGCAGTTCAGGAGTTAGCAGTTTGCTAAACAGTAGAAGTAGTAACAAGAACTCATTCAATAAATACTTTAGCAATACGAGAAGGAGGAAGAGAAAAGTTGTCAATGGTGGGGAAAAAAAAATGTCAGAATGTTTTAGGATGGCTTTATTAGTTTTCACTTAAAATGTCAACTGTGACCAGATGATTTCCAAAACAAATACCAGTGATCAAAGTCCAAGGCTTTGGAAAATAAGACATTAAAGGTTGTTCAGGTAAATTAGAAGCTTTTAAAGAGTTCAGGCATGATGAACTCTACATTACGTTAAAAAAAAACAAAATTATGAAATCCTGGAATTAGAATTCTTATAACTGAAAATTTGTGGATGATAGATGAGGTACTGGAAAAATAAACACGGGTAAATGCTATGTTTCCTTGAAAAAGGAAATAGAAGAGCAGGGAAATCACAGATCAGTCAGCTTAATTCTAATTCCTGGAAAATACGGAGTAAGTTATTAAACCAGTTTAAACTCTCAGAAGATAACCGAGAGACTATTACTGGACAAACTCAGGTCAGGCTAACCTAAGGTTTTTTTATAGAAATAGAGTTTGGCTGTATGGATGGAAGTGGTGATGTCGTATGTCTCTTCTTGATAGTATGAAAGGCGCGTAACATTCTCAAACAAGCTAGAGAGAGCGCCTAGGTGGAAGTGCTACACATTTGGATGCAAGACCGTTCGGAAAGTCATGACTGGAGAATAGATAAGAATAGTTCATTAGAAAAACGGTGTTCTACAGAGCTGTATTGTGATCCCATGCTATTTAGTATTTTCATCAAAACTCTGGGTGATAGAAGTGTGAATATACTTACTAAATCTTCAGATAATGCTAAGCTGGGAGAGGCTGCAAGTGTGTGGGAAGATAGAATTAGGATTCAAAATTAGTTTGACATTTTGGAAACATGACTTGAATGAAGATAAGATGCAATTTGGTAGGAACAGTTTGGCAGGAATAATCAATAGCACAGATACAAGCTAGGAAGCAACCGGCTAGGTAGCAGTTACATAGAAAACAATCTACAGGTTACAGTGGATCAGAAGTAGTACGTAAATCAGTAGTGTCATGCTGCTGTGTAAAATTCTGGGATATATAAATGGGAGCTTCCAAGATACACACACAATAGTACTCCTATATTGTTCAGGTAAGGACTTTGAAATACTGTATTCAGTTTTGACATGAGCATCAAGGAACGGTTAGAGGGCTATAAAAAAACATACGAAAGACTGAAACGTGACAGATTTGTTTTTAAAAGAGGGGAAAAAGACTGAAAAAAGGCTTGGGTATTCAGATAAGCAAAAGCCGCAACAAAAAAGAAGGGAATAATATTTTCTTTGTATCTAATTGATAAGATGAGAAATAGTGGTTTTACATTGCAGCAAAGAAAATTCAGATTAGACGTTATGAAAAAATAATAATGAGTTCCTAATGTTGAGACTACAGCTTAATTTCTGGTTACTTAATCCTGATGACAGAATTCCTTTTATTCTGTCTTGGTCTGCCTCATCTCCTCCTTGCTCCTCCCCTGAACTCATATTTACCTCAGTGAAATAAAGATGTTTTAAAAAAATACGGTGGCATATTTTGAACACCTGCATTATTTCATTTATAATACAGAATTAAAACTTAGCATAAAATTGCATTCCTGTCAAACACGCCATGTTTGGCAAACTTAATGCTGGAACAAGGGATTTCTTTTAATTTGTGACTATTCTTGTTTTGCCAAGGTTACATTGTGTTCAGTGGTCCACGTCGGGCAAATGGCATACAAGGACTGCGATTTATTATCCAATCTGAAAAGCCACCGCACTATTTAGAAAGCAGGGTTGAAGCGTTCTTAAAAACTATGGAGAAATGCATAGAAGACATGACAGAAGAGGCCTTCCAAAAACACATCCAAGCTTTAGCAATTCGTCGTCTAGACAAACCAAAGAAGCTGTCTGCAGAATGTGCAAAATACTGGGGAGAAATCATTTCCCAGCAGTATAACTTTGACAGAGGTAAGACAAATGATGATTCCTCATTTGTGGAGCCTGTGCTTTCACTGCTGTGGGAGCCATTAGTAATAAGAGGATAAATGTGTTCCCTGATGTTCACCATATGATGGGGGTTGGTGAATGCTTCATTGACCTTCCGTTATTTCCCTTAAGGCTCAATGAGACATAGAGTAGGTCAAGGATTGGAAGTGGTTTGAATGCAAATGTTGGTGTCGCATAAGCTCAAATTTCTTTCTGTGATGTTCAGATGTCTGTATAACATATGTGCCGAATACTTGACTGAGATGCATTCAAATACAGTTTGACATTTCTGATGGTGCACACATTCATACGAACCCTATTCCTCTTCCCATTGCACAGTTCTTTTGAGGGAGCGATGGCAGAGGCAACAGCAGGTATCTTAACTAACATGTGACCTGTCTCACCTTAGAGTAGGCTTGACGAAACATTCATTTTTTTGTTTTTTATCCATGATACTTTGAAGATTATGAGCTTGTAGAAGACCAATTGAGATCCAACGTCTAGTGTTATTACTGAAAATGGACTGACAGTTATTTATGTTGTGATCTTACATAGTATTTAGGTTGTATTTTTCGCTTTTTCATCATTGTTTGAAGATTTTTAATCCAAAATACTGAGGTATATTAGTAATACGGTTTCTGACATTAGAAAAAATGTTTTAGGTACAGATCAGCTTTTCCTCACGTTTTCATGTCTCAACTCTTCTTCACAGCTATAATTTTCCATCTTCCATGCATAATATGCTTCCTACGTAAAACTCACTCTGTATCTTGTGACTTCTCTTCTGTTTTACATGCACAGTATTGTTCTTCCACAATAGCAAATACAGTCTTTTTGGTCAACAATGACTAACTGAACTGTTTTAATAATGAAGAATTTTGAATTGTCATTTAGCTTGGTCTCAAGAGAATGAGAGCTACTGACAAGGTTTCATGTCTGAGTATAAGGAGTGGCATGGAAACTTGTCCCCTCAAGTACTTTTTTTGTGTCTGATGAAACACTTTAATTTTTCTCTGCCTTAAGTGTTTCTGGTTTTGCCATACTTGGATATATATTATCTCTCTGGAATTTCTTACTGCTAGCTGTAGCCATATCTTTCATATCTAAATCCCACTCAACTTACTATTTCCCTTGACTTTTATATCTCTAATTCCCCTCTACCCACTAGTAATTTTATTTCATTAATGACTTTAATATGAGTAGAATTGTCAAAATCAGAAATTCATATTCCAGCCTTAAGAAGTGAAAGTGTTTTTTCTTCAGGTTTTTACATTTTTATTATTATTACTTTTACTGTTTTACTTAATTTAAAAATTTTCTCCCAAATGTCATCTAGTTTTCCAAATTGTGTTTTGTTGATTTTTTTTTTATTTCCTCCATGTAGAACTTCATATTAATTACTTACAGCCTGCCTCACAGACTTGTTAGCTGCATATTTGTTCTCTTGTACACATTTCTTTCTTGATCTTCCTGCTAACCCTAAGAAAAGCAAGCATGCCTACAAAAAAACCATGCCTGCTTATGCAGCAATGATATTACATGATTAGTTCATTACAATTTAATTTATATGAAGTGATGTAGCTACTGAGACACATTGTCCCCAGATATTTTAAAGGTGATTATTCCTTAACAGGTATAATGTAGGCACCGTTCCTTACATTTATTTAAAAGTACATCCTACCATCCTGTCTCCTAACTGTGCATAAAAGCCATCTATAATCAGTCTGCATTAGAAGTATGTAACATTGATTTGAAGATAATACAAGAAGTAGGCATATCTTTTTTAGCTACTGAATAACATAAAGTGCAATCAGTATTCTTCAGACATGCATTTTTTTAGTAAGTCCAATCAAATGAACTTACTGAAGTACAATTTTCTGTAAGCTTCCAGTGACACTTTTAGTGATGCAAGTATTAGCTTGAAAGAATGAAAAGCATATCATTTGCAGTCAATTACAGCATCTGAATTTGAAAGAAAAATACTTTGAATAAGTAGTGTGCTAATAACCAGCTATGATTTGCAGACTTGTCCTAATTTTTACTATTGTTGTGCAGATAACATTGAAGTGGCTTATCTAAAGACTCTGACCAAGGATGATATTATACAGTTCTACAAGGTAAGTTAGTCATGCAGTTAAAATCTTACTTGGAAAGAGATGTAGATATAACTGGATGTTATTTGTGTAGACTATGAAAACATATACTTACGCCTGTTTTAGGTAGATGATACGATTGATGCAGATACCTTAGTAATAATTTTGTTTCCTGAATCTTACTTAGTTTAATGGCAACTAGCATACTATAAAAATTGTGGAGAAGGATTGGGTTTTGTTGTGGGGTTTTTTGTTTTGGTTTGGTTTTTTTCTTCCCCTCTAACCAGCTCTTATTCTCCTCTTGTCTCATTTATAGTTTGTTTCAGAATAAAAAATGTGCCGCTCTATGACCAAGCTTGGCCAAAGTTGCAATTTTTGTTCTTTTATTTTTTTTTCTTCAACCAGTAAATGATTCAGCTTGGTTTGTGTGCATGAATTGTGAATGAAACAGATATTTTTAAAGCTTTGTTCACTGTAAATCAACACTTTTTTTTCTTCCTTTCATAGTTAGGCAGAACAAAGGAACAGCTTAATGATGCAATAATTGTACATTGCAACTCAGCATGAAGTTGCTAGATAGATATCTAATATAAGCAATTGAAATACTAGTGGGTCTCGTGGTGTGTCCCCCGGCCCCTGGAAAAAAATAAAAATTGGGCCTCGTTCTTTCTGTTTTGTAACAAATTTCATAGGCAATGATAATTCATTATATTGCAAAGTGTACATATTGGTTTATTACTTATGGACCAGCTAATAGCTCAGGGAATACTTTGAAAAATAACATAGGTGTATGTCTTTGGAACTTATTATTGGATGGAAAAATTTCTGCCCATGAGGAAGCATGGATATGTGTGTATCTATATGTTCTTTTTTTTCCCGTTGGGGGGGGCTAATGTCTTTCTTTTTTGTACTCTGTCTTATCCTTTTCACTATCCAAGGTCATTTTTACATTACTGTCTATTTTTATGAGATTTAGTCTTAATGCTTAAAACTGGTTATTATTTACATGGCACAGTGAACACTAACATCTTTGTTTTGGAGTTTTTTTTAATAGTATGATAGCATGGGTGAAGATATGCAGCAAATACAAACTTAGTAAATGGAATTTCAGCAGCTATTGTTTAATAAATGATAAATTGAACAAGTATCCACATTCTGTTTTTGTAGGAATCTACTATTTTGCTTACACCAATGCTCAGTACATGATTATCCAGTATTCCAGAGCAGAAATAATTGGCTAGATTGGTGAGCAAGTCCAGCTGAGTTTAATAATTGTGTTCAGGGTAATGTGCTTCCAGAAGGCTGCTAGGGATTGAAAATTCTGTGGAGATTTTAGGTTGCACTCCTGATACTATGATAGTTAATGGATGAATTCTTATTACTTCCAGTTTTTCTGAGTCCCAAACAGTACATGAATTTCTTAACTTGATTGTAAAATGATTCCAAGTACTGTAGGGATGACGTTTAATAATATTTGAAGGGACATCCCAAAATTTATCCCTCATTTTTAAAGCTTAAATTAAAATTTTAATGCTCTCATTCTTTTACTGTTTTATAAATATAATGTATGAGTGATACTTCCCACACCTGAAGGACTTGATATTTTTTACTGTAGGTGCTGTTGGCAATAGATGCTCCCAGAAGGCACAAGGTATCAGTACATGTCCTTGCAAGGGAAATGGATTCCTGTAAGTATTGTGCTGAATATAGTACTTAATCAATTTCTGTTCAAGCAAGACATAGTTAAAGACAACCATGTTACATGATACAAATGCACTATAAGAAAAACTCAGCTCTGGAGATTATATACCTTTCAGAGGAAAAAGTATTTCTTTTTATTGGTTTTCTTCACATGGATGCTTCAAATTTTCTGATGAATGTTTGTGGCCAAGTTCTTCAGCCATTCTGAAGTATATTGATATTAAAACAATATATCTTAAAATAGCACTTCTTTTTTCAACAGGATATTATAAAATAAACATAAAACCCTCTAATAGTCCTCTAATAGTACAGGGAAAAACAAAATTAGGATTTGCAGTTATGAATACAATGAGGTTTTGGGGGTTTTTTGCTGACAAGCAGTGAATGTCCACAATTTTATTCAAGCACTCTCAAGGGGGGTGGAGGGGAATCAAACAAAAAACAACCCTCTGGGAATCTCAGACATATATTTAAACTTGAGAAAGTCAAAGCTTATTTAGGTTTTATTTTCAAATAATTTAGATTAGCTGTGCATTGTAAACTGTGGTGTTCCATTTTAGAATTCAAGAAGGAAAAGGATAAAAGTGTTTCTGGTTAATATAAATAGAGAGGAAAAACTTCTATGTTGTTTTGTGCGGATTTTTCACCAGTTTATACTGGACTTAAATTCCAACATGTAACTGGTTGCAAAATCAAGAATATTAAAGGCTTGTCTGCAGAGCAGAAAGAAGCACATAGCTGTGTGACTGTCATGAAATTCCTTCCAGTCTCAGAATGATTGATTTTTATGGTACCGTGGAAATTGTAACTCTGCAGCTGAGTAAGGAATGGTATCTTCCCGAGACAAGGGTGAGCATGGGAGACAACCTAACAGGTGGTTACTCTTGCAGAGATTATAGCAAGGTATTCTCTCCACATACTCCCCAGTCCTAAACCATTTAATCTGGCCTGTCTTCTGCCATGAAAGAGAAATTGGGACTTCAATGCATTTCCCGTGAGTCCAAATGAGCATTCTTCCAAGTGCAGGTGCCCATCCTCTAGAGAGGAACACAAAGGAGGAAGGCTAAAAAGCTTCCCAGAGAGAACCCTTCCTCCTGGAGGCAGACACACCATTTTCTCTGAGAGTGGAAAAGAATCGGAAGCAGTAAAGTAGAGATCTGGGATTTTAGGAGGGGGAAGCACTTGAATTCGCAGGGTGAAGGTTAGGGTTGAAATTTGAGTATGGAAATAGAAGGGAGGTTTAAGGAATTTAAGACTAGAAGTTCTTAAAGACAAGTGGATTGGATGCAGGAAGAAGTTTTGGGGGGACTGGAGTAGGGCATGCATGGGGACAGGCAGGGAAGACTTGAGGTTGCTATCCAGAATTTTGGTACATGGAGTAAGCCCCAGCCCTCCATAGGCATGTCCTTACTAAAAGATGTGCTCTTGTTGCATATACCACTAGCATTTACTACTGTTCTCATAATTTGTACTGGAAAACAGTTTTAAGTATTCATTGATCAGTAGATTAGCAATTTTTATTTCTATATTCTCTTTATGTGTAAGTAAAATGAATAAAAGCCGCTGCCTCAGTGCATGTTCTCAAGTCAAATCATGGATTAAGCTCTTTGTATTTCTAAGGACAACTGTGGAGTATAAAAGCAAAATGTTCAGAAAATCTTATTTAGAGATACTTTAAAATTAATAACCTATTCCTGACTTATAAGAGAAAACAGTTTATTATGTAAAAGGTACTGATTAAATTATGGTCCTGAATTAATTTTGATAATGTTAAATAGGCCCTGTTGTTGGAGAATTTCCATGCCAAAATGATGTGAACCTGGCACCAGCACCACCACTACCACAGGTAAAAAGAAACAATACACAAAATATCCCAGGCTGTATTCTTAATATGGAAGTTTAGTATCATTAAGTGTAAGTTTTTAGGGAGAAACAAACTTCTTAAAATTCATGCTGTTGTGGGGCTGATGTTTCAGCTCTTTTCCACATGCATTGTCATCCTCAATAACAGGGATATTTCCTGATTTTTTTTTCTTTTTTTCTTTTTTTCTTTTTAACAGTCTGTCCTGTTATCTTTGTTCCTTCTATTCCATTGAAATAAAAGCTAATAGTAGTAGTAAACTCTACTAAGTATCTACACTATGGAGTAAAATACAGATTATTTTGTCCGAAAATACTGATTGTATATGATCGGATGTATCAAGTGCCAAGAGAAAGATGCATATGCATCAACAAATTTATCATCTGCGGGGGGGGGGGGGAACTCAACCCTAAAGCAGCTACAACAAAACCAACTACGTGGTCATTATCTTAAAGCCTAAAATAGTAATGCACATTCCTGTCAATGTGTAACCTGTGAAAGAAGCAATTTGACAAATTCTATTCATACAAGTATTGCAGATTTCACTGTGTGGTTAGATATGATAGCACCGGGTCCTTACTGGACCTTAAATGAATTTTCTTGAAGAAGGATGGTAATGTTTGTCCTAATAGATAATTAACTTTTCGCAATGCAGTAGTAGATCTGTGTTCTTATTCAGTCCTTATAGGTGAAATAATCACCATGGGTGGAAATTTCTATATGATAATTTCTGTATATATTAGCCATTATGACTGAAATATTTAAAAGTTACTTTGTTACTGCAACTAAAAATAATAGCTCATTGAATTGCTATTGCTTTTATGATCTTACCTCTGATATTCAACGGATAGATGGGATGTTCTGAAGTAGAATTTGTAAATGAAAAGACAAGCTCTGCGTTTACTAAAGATCCTGCCATTATTAGTAATGCAATTACTGCATTATAGCTATTGTTTTAAATTATCTAGAGTAAATATGAAACCATTTATTTCATAAGAAATAACACTATATTTTGGGGGATCCTGTAATAATGAAATGTGAATCACTAAGATTGTAGAAAATAGCAAGAAAGATGTGTTTATATGTAGCTGTAGCAAAAGTTAAAATGAAAAGCGAGGAATTTCTCACTTTTTTGCGTAAAGATACTGAGCAGACTTTTTCTTGCGTACGCTTCTTTGCAGCCAAATGTGATTGAAAATATGACAGAATTCTCTCTTTCCACTGGTGAAACCACATATCAATTTCATGGCTGCAAAACTGTGAAGAACCCCAATGGATGAAGAAATGCAAATGATCAGTACTGACATGGTTTCAGGGGACTTCATGATGAACAAAATTATTAAAGATCATTAGGATAAATGGTTCTGTCCGTTACGAAAGTCCCGAATTCCTTCTTGGTTCATTTGACATTAGCTGTGTGTTAGGGATAGAGAGTATATAAAAATCAGTTGTGGTCATGTGTCATTTATATTACAGACAACCTGTTGAAAACCAAAATCAACTGAAACAATAATAATAAAAACTTGTAGATGCAGTATATTTTTGAAGTAGAATATCCCTTCAAATTTTCATTTTGATAAAATAACCCTCCAGAGCAAACAAAATTGCTTCAAATATCCTTGTTACTCCTGAAAAACACCGTTTAGTATCCCAGTAATTATCTTATTGGGGGCTGAAGGGGGTGAGAAAAGTAGGTTCTTTTTGGGATGGGGTCAACAATTTTTCTTAAAAATAGAGACTTTCACATTTTTTTGAAGTGATGTGTTGAATGGTACTTTTTTAATTGATCCTTAATGCAACAAACATATTTTCTATTTAAGTTTTATGAAGACCGGGAGGGGAAGGAAATTTGACAACACAGTAGTAAGTGAGAGAATTGTCTTAATGAGAATAATTGAAGATACAGGCATGATTTTAATCTTTCTATACAAATTTGGGGACATTTTATATTAAAACTAGTAAAATGCTGGAAACACTTCAATAGTGCATCTTATTTTTGTTATCAGTTGTCCCAGTCTCTTGATACTGTCAATATCCTGTTCAGTTTCTCAGTGTTACTGTGAATTGTTTCCATTTGGTATATAAAATACTTTATTTGGTGTCATTTTTTGTTTTCAGTTGCGCATGTGCTGATGGAGAACTCAGTTTATTTTGCCCCATTTGTTATGTTAGGTCTCAGTCCAGCAAAGTACTTACTAGTGCAAATAACTTTAAGCACACGTTAGTTCTTGACTCAAGAATAGGTGAACGTCAAATATGAGCCCTGTAATGAATCAGATACATCATTGTTCTGATACATGTGTGTGGGTCCTTCTTGTCCTTCAGGAAGGCGTTTGGGACAGTGCAGTACGGGGTTAGCAGTACTGCTATAGCACAGGGTATGGTTCAGGTTACATCACAAAATGTTTGTTCCTACTTCTTTTAAGGCGGCTGCGTAAAACCCAGAAGGCTCAAGAATTATGCTGATACACTATATGTATATATATATATTCCATAATTTAGTAAAATGCTAAACCAATATATGGTGTCTAATCTTCACCAAGTTTACTGACTTCTGCAGAGTGGTCTTGTGCCTGGGACAGCCTCCAAATAGAAAAAGGTAAGGGAGCATCTTACTAATTATGAAGTTGTCCTACTGTTTAATGCATAAAATTGATTGTAATTATTCAGACAGGATAGAGTATGCAAAGCACTGAAGATAAAAAATCTGCTCATCAGGGGTGTTACTAAGAGTTTGCTTCTTATTAAAAGAACCTGAAGCTAAGACCCTGATGTGACATGCATGTTGTCATACGTCAGAATCCTGGTATATTCGATAGAGCTGTTCTTGTCATTGAATCGATGTTCTTTCTTACACTGGCTCTGAAGCCACATTAAATGAATGCTTGACAGGGTAAGGGCCTTAAGTTGTGTTTATCTGAGAGTCTCTTCTAAATGAATAAATATAGTATATTTAAAAGCCGTTTGAAAGGTTAACAGTACATGTTTCAGCATCTTTTTAATAAATTTGATGATAGTTTGTGATGTAACCTGTTGCTAAGGAAGGCCACTAGCATTTTTTTTTCTAGCCTGAGGAGAAAAAAAATTAAACATAGTGTAAGCAAAACCAGTAAAGATGTCTCTGTTCACCACATTTTTCATGGATCCTGCACATAAAATGGGCTTTTTACCCTCTTGCCACTCTTTACCACTTTTGTTTATAGTTTTCCTTTAGTAAAAGTATTTGTATTATATATATTAAAAGTTTTGACAACATATTATAAAAATATATTTTTTGGAATTTAGTATTTAAACATACCACTCTTACAGTGAATAAAATGAAATGCCTTCTATCATGTGTAAAAAGAAATAGAGAGATATATATTCATGGAAGTACTATCAACTCTTAATTTTAACAAATCATATAAATAAATTGGAATAGCAGTGTATTTAACATAAGCTCACAAATCATGTTTTCCAGAGGAAAAAATGTAGAATTTCAGAGTTCTGTGACTGGATGTGGAAACCCATGTAGTTTTCCAGCAACTCTCAATTGCTTTTAAGTGTTCTCCAGCATTTTACAGTTTCTGAGTTTGATATAGCAGTAAATTTTGATAAACTCAGGCATACTAACGGGTTCATTTTAATGGATCCAAAGCTGCAGTGTCTACAAGCAATAAAAAACTACCTAGAATACACTGTAATTCAATTTTAGTGCTGGTTAATTAGTTTATGTAAGAAACCATAAATTATTATTACATAACTGTAATTTTTGCAAGTGCTATTTTAAGCAGTTGATGTGGAATTGGGTGCATGTGTCACAGCCAGTATGACAGAGTGCTAGAGTTATTCTGTTTACAATAAACAATCTGAATTTAATGTTTGGAGTTCTTAATTTGTTTCATTTTAATTTTTTGCATACTAGTAATGTTACATCTATCAGTCTGTGCATGTTTTTTATTATATGTTAATTGTTATTTTCTGCTATCCAGTTGCCTGGACTACTTAGGCTGAATAGCGTTACTGGAGAAGTGCTCCCAGTCACTTCTAGGGAAATTTCAGAGGGCTTCCCACACCTTTTAGGTAGATCCACCTCTGTTGCTGTCTGAGTGTATGAAAACTTAGTAATATATAGATAGAAATATTTGCACAAGACAGGATTTTAATTATCAAATCTGCAATTGTAAATTCAGAGCATCGCTACAGCCAGACTGAATCGTGCCTAGTGCAGCTTTACAGTGTTCCTTTTGAGAAATTACTTTCCCTGGTCGTTTTCTTTGTTTTATGCACACCAAAAGATTACATTTAGAAAGGTTAGGAGTAAGTGTGATTGTTAGAACAATAAATAGTGTCAATTCTGAATTCTGACAGCATAAAGATACAAGTCAGCAGGCACTTCTGCTGTTCTCATGGGGCTCTTTGAAGTAATGTCTGACAGTTAGCAATGTTAAGAGGCAGGTTTTGTCCTTGGCATTGGGAAGAGTGGTTGGTACTCTCAGCGGAGAAATAAAATGCCTGCAACCCACCTGGAAAAGTATTTGTCCCCAACCTCAGGGCTCTCTTTCTCCACTCCCAGTCGTTAGGGATTGGTGTAAATCTTGACTCATTGGCTTTATTGTCTTTTGCAAAAAATCAAGCTATCCAAATTTACTTCAATTATTACTGTTAGCCATAAAAAAAAATGCTTGAGCTTTTTCAGAATATTGTTTTAAGCGCTTGGACGTGAACTGCGCTTATTGATAATGTGTTCCACAGTGTAATCATAATGTGTGGAGAGAGCATCACACACCTTTTTAACTTAATTTTTTTTTTTTCTAGCTCTCGTTTTAACACAAGGTCAGCAGAATTTTAGTCTACCTTCTCTCTACTATTTAATTGGTTAGCATGCTTTTGCTATAGCTCCACTGTAAAGTGAAAAATTGTTATCTGCTATACCTTTCTTCATATGTGTTTTCCATATTTCTTCAATAGCTGACCATTGAACTGATATGGTCATCTGCAGTGATGCCTGGGTCCTTCCCTTGAGCTGATACCTAACTTGACATTCAAATCCAACTCTGAAATACTTTGTTTTCAAGTCAGTTTTTAATATTATTGCTGCATGCTGCACGATACAAGGCACCTCTGTGCTATTTTAAAGGAAGAAGAGATCAGAAACTGGCACCTTTCTTACCTTTCATGTAAATTCAAAAGAAGCCTGACCTATGTAGGTTCTGCTGAAAGGCTTTTATTTGAAACATTTCAGAGTCTACTTACCATTCAAAGAATATACTCATAACTTACAGTATGTGCTGTTGGTGGAATATAACGCTAATAGTATGTGAAATCTGTATTGCAGTTCAAAGGAAGAAAGTGTGTGTGAGGCCAAAGGCCTAGCAGAATGGGAAATGTCACAATTAAACCAACTTATTGAACTCAAACATCTAAACAGAATTTAAGATTGAAAATATTTATGGCTTCTTAAATTAGTATTTCTAAGCCACCCCAAGGCTGTTAAGTAAAAGTGCCGCATTAAAGGATGTAGACACCACACTGCTGAGCATTTGCCACTGTTAACTTTTAGGACTCCCTCTTTAGTGAGTGCAAAATTCTGAAATAAATTTCTTGACTGTGCAATGGATGAGGGAAGATACACAGCTCCAAGTGGACTTCAGGTTACTGTTGCACTGAGCGAGGAAGTGACTAGGCTTAGCCAGTGGGAAACTCTGCTGAGGGGCATCCAAATTTAAATCCTGCATCTTTCTGAGGATTTGGCACCACCTTACTGTGTATTAGACGTGCTTCCTTCTGCTTCAGATTTCCATTAGAGTTTTCACTGCCTGCTCGGCTTCCCTTTCAAGACGGGGAGTAAGGAATCGTGGTACTTATCTAGCGACTGCCAAAGATATGTAAACTTTTCACTGGAGCAGCAGCTGGAACTCGGGACCCCCTCCCAGCCCTCCCCTCCACCCGTATGCAGAACTGGGTGTCCCATGGTACCTGTGGGCTCATAGATGCACAAAGTCTGGTGGTGAACGCTTACTCTACAAAATTAGAACAGGTTCAACAGAAGGGAATGAGGAGGTCCCCAACCTACATTACTAACCTCCTGGAAAGTGGGAAAAAGGGGCTAGAAAAAATTCTAATAGAAGATGGACATGAAGTTGATTTTTTTGGTAACTTGCACTAACCACTGAGTTGTGGCCTAGAAGAACATGCTTTTTATGTGAAGTCTGTTGTAAAGGATGAGCTCCTGTGATGGGAGAGATAGAGGACGACCTGCTTGTGAATTCCAGGGAGACGTAGGAGATCAATACTAATGCATTTTATGTGGTTAAGGCTGAGTCGTCTCAGATCATATGCAAAAATGGGATTCTGGGAAATCGAATATAGAAAATGTGGGTGTGTACAAATGTTAGTGAAAGCTGAGACTGGGCTTTGAAGATCTAAATTTTGGATGTGATGCCTTTTAGT